GTATGAATACTAATACAGGGTCCAGGCTTTTGTTAAAACCCTGAGACTGTATGATGAGTTATAACTCGTTATAACTCAAGAAAGGGGAACACACAATAGATCTCTAAGGTCGCGGTGATTAACTCCCCTCCTAAACATTCTACAACACAGTAATTTATATAGTAAAAACTTTTTATAATAGTTCCTGTAGTAAAAAAAAATTGGAATTTTGTTTACAAACCTAACTGTACTTGGATGTATTTCAGAAGAATTTTTAACTTTTGCAGATTGGCTCAAAAAAGTGTGAGTGGATCGGTATGATTTTCTTAAATAGTTTTTCATACACCCTGTATATTATTGCTTTCGGCTTTCTTCCTAATCACAAGATAGAAGAATTCAAGATAGAATTCAAGATAGAAAAAATCCTCCCAGAATCGCAAACGGGTTTTCGCACCAACCGCGGTACCGTCGATTCCATATTCTCCATCTGCCAACTACAGGAAAAAGTAAAAGAGCAGCAGTCTAAACTTTACGTTGCATTTATCCATCTAACAAAAGCCTTTGACTATGTGAACAGAGATGCACTTTCGGCAATTATGAAAAAGTTCGGAGTACCCAACAAATTTCTTACAGTGTGTGTAAAAGCCTCCATTACAACAACAAATCAAGAGTGTCATTATCATGGATCACTGAGCGATCCCTTCCTAACAAACACAAGCTTTAGGCAGGGATGTCTCTTAGCGCCTCTCCTATTCAATATATTCATGGCAGCGCTCTCCATTATAGTGGACAGCAAACTGCAGGGGAGATGTTTGGGCATTAGATACAGATACGACGGCGCGGTGGTCTGTTCAACATAAAAAGACTCAGGGCAAAACACGTACAAAATTCATCACAGAACTTGAATACGCTGATGACTGTGCTCTAGTTGTAAATACGTTACAGCAATTGCAAGAAATGTTGAACACATATACATGGGCATACGAGGCTTTGGGACTTAAGCTGAACATCAATAAAACTAAAATCATGTGCACTCCCCCGGAAGATCACAACAATGGTATAAAAATCGGAGACGAGCTATTGGAATATGTAGCGGAATTCAATTACCTCGGCAGTTTGATTTCGGAAAAGGTCAATATCGACTCTGAAATTCAGCACAGGATTAGCAGCGCCTCAAGAGCGTTCTGGAAATTAAAAGACAGGGTTTTCTACAATCATGACTTGAGCACAAAAACGAAACTTGCAGTGTACCGAGCAATAATAATTCCCACCATGTTATATGGAAGCGAAACCTGGGTGCCGTACCGCCGACACATGAAAGCATTAAACAAGTTGCAGCAGAGACATCTTAGACAACTCTTAAGAATAAAATGGTTTCATCATGTCTCAAACGTATCGGTCCTTGAAAAAGCTAACTGCGAGAGTATTGAAGTCATGATTACAAAGTCCCTCTTAAGATGGGCTGGTCACGTATGCAGAATGCAAGAAAACCGCATACCAAAATCTCTGCTTTACGGTGAGCTTGTAGACGGTAAGAGGAGGCCGGGGGGACAACCAAAAGGTACAAGGATATTTTCCACAAATACTTAAAGGGAATTAACAAGCAGAATGAGTGGGAAGAAGCATCTCACAATAGAACGGAATGGAGAAGAATTGTAAAGTCAGTTAACAGCGACAACCAAAAAAAAAACATTCATGAAAAGTTCATGAAAGAAAACGCCTTGCGTGACCATCTTCTGATGCGTGTCAAATACTCGTCAGCGAGTAATGGCAGTATGTATGTATATATGTATATTATTGCATTTTTGGCTTTCTTCCTAATCACTTTACATTATCCTAAGATATTATTAAATTTGTTTAGATAATTTCAAAGAAAATAAATAAATTAAAAAATACATTTTTTTCGTTTTTTTTTAAATATTAAAAATACAAGAAATGCCCTGGAATCAAAACTGTACTACTCGTAGGTATGTACTTTCTATGGTTGGACTGTACTTACTGTATTATGAATATACATTATTGCTGCTCTATATTTACTAATTTCTCTAGTAAAAATGAGACTGGATTTTTGTAGGGTGTATACAAAATGCGCTTTAAAGCTTTGTAGCGCTTTTTACAATGTTCACATGTCATTTTGTATAAACGTGCGCATAAAACGCATATAAACGACATTTGCATAGATTAAGTTTCAGTTTAACTTTCTTTTTCTAGGAGAAGACATTAAAGCTCCTACAACCGCATGTTCGTTGTAGACACTTTTTACAATGAATTGTTTTTGCATTTTACTCAGTCATAATGCAGTATGAGATGAGTTATTGTGATGGTACATTAGGTATAGATATTTACAAAAACAATATGTTCTAGTTTAACAAACCCTATCTATTTGAAGAATAACGATATGTAAATAATATGTGTATTTTAAGAATAAAATAGTAATTTTACCCAGGGTTGGAAAAAATCATGATTTTTTAAAAAAAATCAAAAAATCAGATTTTTTTTATTTTAATTCAAAACAATATTTAAATGGGATTTCCAAATGACTAATGCCCACTTGCACCGTTTGTATAAACTTTGTTTATAGGCTAAACAGTGATTAACTATAATAAAATATTATATAGTTAATCACTGTTTAGCCTTTAAACAAAGTTTATACAAACGGTGTAAGTGGGCATAAGACTCATTTCCAATTAAAGTCCTATCCTAAATGGCTAAATCTTTATAACTCTGAGCGATACCGATAACATTGATAATTTTACGGCACGTATCATTTTTCCGCATCGGTCACCAATATATTCCGCAAAAAAAGTCGCTCGCTTCAGATCAGAAGTATTTTTTTTCTCAAATGTCTCAAAAGTATTAATTTTTGTAATTTTAACGGCTAGGCATAAAAGTAAAGCACTGTTACGCCGTTACGCCTAAGCACAAAAGTACAAAAATAATATATTATTAAACTGATATTAGGTGTTAAATTCAACGAGTGTACATATCGTTTCTCGATTACTGTTTGTATTATTTGCAATGTTTGAAAATGATTAAAAAATTATTTGTAATGTTTTAAAAAAATACTGTTTTATCCGGAGTAAAAATGTACTTTTTGCGTCTCCTTGTAACGTCGGAATAGTTTTACGATGGTCGTTCAAATGTACAGCATCGTCAAAAAAAGTATAATTTCTACTCTTAATAAAACAATACACTACTGTTCGGAAATAGTTTTAAGTCGAGAATGAAATTAGTATTATCTAATGTCAAAGTGTAAAGTACTTACTGCAAATCAAAATGTCGGTAACAATTTGGAAACATACCAACGTTTCAAAAAAAAATATATAAAACAACATTTTCTGACAACGATTATAGATTTTCGGGAATGAAGATATAGTCTCTATATCAGAAGAACCTAGTTCTGCACTAGTCTGCTAATGATATATATTCGAACAGCGAATTTTTGTCACTTATACATAAATTTTAAAACAAATCCCTGCGTTTAGCGGTCTTATGGATTCACGGTCACACGAATTACTTCAAAAATCGGTTCAACATTTAAATTGATGAATAGATATTTTTATTTAGTTTAATAAAATTTACAATTATTTTTTTATTTATTATCTGTTATATCTGTTATAGAAATATTTTTTATAGTTTTCTAGGACAGATTTTTATAACTTTTACAGTTATTTTTTGATTTATTATAAAGTTTCAATAAATTTAATTTTTTGATTTAAATCACATGATTAAAATTTAAAAATTCACTTGATTTAAATCACGATTTAAATCATGATTTAAATCATGCCAACCCTGATTTTACCTGTATATCGGGTATTTTTCAGAAGTGGCTCAGCCCTATACCTTTTTAATTTCTTCAGATAAATAAACGAGTTTTGGTACGTTGATTGTCGTATTCAATTGTTTTTGGTCACTTTCACCAGCATTTACTACAATTTTTGATTTTTAAATGGTACCCTTAATATTTTTTAAATGAAAGAAAATGATATTCTGAATAGACTGACATATATCATAGGTCAAATTTGGATATTTTCGCTTAATAAAATAGGATTTTAAAGTTCAATCTACAATGCCATGGCTGTGTTTGTGAAGATAATTTGACCCAAAATTCCGGTACCCAAATTATTTGTAAAAATGCTTGTTCTAAATATGCTCTTGTGGGTAATGAATGACTTATTATTAAAAATACGATTTTGATATCTTTTCACCGGTTAGGAAATGTCACAAAAAAACATTATACGATGAAACCTATTTTCCCACGGCTCCTTCATTAAAAATTAATTGTTTAACAGCCGTGGCACTCTAGATTGAAATTTAAAATACCAATTTTTTAAAGCGAAAATGTCAAAAGTTGACACATGATATATCATTCTATTTAGAATGTTACTTTCTATGAAATAAAGTAGAATACGGAAGGTACCATATAAAAATCCAAAGGTATTTCCAGTGAATCAGGAAAAAAGTCACGTTAAGTCAGGAAAGTGCCAAAAATAGGGGTTTATGATGTCAAGCAGGGTTCGGAAGTAGTTAATTAAGACATAATTTACCTGATTAACTACGTGTAAAGAAAACTTTCCAGAAAAAACCATAATTTACCTGATTAACTAGTTCAAAAACTACGTCTTTTCCCGTTCATTAACTACATGAAAACTACGTTAATAAACTATGTATTGATATTATGAATAATTTTCCTTTGTATGAGGTGTAATAGAGATAATATGATGTAAATATTATATTTAAAGCCATATTTCTTCTGTTTTCTTAAATACATTATGTGTTTTTAAAGCTTCAACTTATTAAAACCTCACATCAAACCTTTGATATTTGAAAGTTACACTACACCCACTTATTAATAAGTTACATAAACCAAACCCTCTACATTAACTACATGTAATGTAGTTTATGTAGTATTTAAAATCGGAAACATGTAGTTTTCCGAACCCTAATGTCAAGAGAAAATCTGATAATGAGATCTTTCTGAATACTTTGTTACCCTGTATAAAAATTTGAGATATACCTACCAGTACAAATTTTCCATGCCATGTTTATGTTTAATTAATATTTGATGCACTAATCCAATAGCAGAATGAACTCATACACACAAGCACTGCACTATTTAGAGAAAAAAATATTAAACAGAGATAAATTACATTAATATTATTAGAGACGGTTTTTCAGATGCCCCGGTAATATAGATAAAAGAATTCAAATAGACCGAGATTAGGCTATATCAGAATAAAATATTAAAATACATCGACTAAATTAAGAATTAATATTATTATGTATAACAATGTTTTAGAATTATTGTTTAGAATAAATAATTGATGGCATGTTGCGTCAATGCGACTTTTGACTTTGAAATAAGACAACAAATTTTATCGTTGAATTTTGAATTTGGTAATAGGTTTGCCAAACTCTTTTTTACTAAGTACATTCACACGCAAAATTTTGAATTAAGGTATTATACCTTAATTCAAAATAGTAGAAGTAGAAAATGAAGACGCTAAAAATTAAATGTTAGAGAGTAAAGACTTATACTCGTTAAGTTTGATTTTCATGCATCTATTATCCGACGATACGATGATACGATATTAATTTTATTGGTTGAATTTAAAGACTTCGATTGGTTAAAAACGGTTAACCAATCGAAGACTTTAAATTCAACCAATAAAATTAAAATCGTATCATCGTATCGCCGGACAACGGATGCATGAAAATCAAGCTTTATGCGCTGATCGTCGGGTATAGTGAGTATGATCACAGATTAGGTATCCTATAAGTATACAGATAAAAATCTTGTTCCTAATTCGTGGTACGAAAATTGTTTTTTATGACGATGTGCAAACGAGTCAAATTTCCTATGCGCAAAAATAAACTCGCGTAAAATAACAATAAACAGCGTAATAGAGAGATATCGCTAAACCGAATAGCGTGCATGGACGTTAATAAGGCCAAGTGTTATTTCCTTTACGTGAGGTGGTATTAACTCTCTTCATTTATAGTTATCGGATCGGAAAGAATTCTGATCGCGTCGCGTCCGCTATTTTATCTTAACCTAACTTTGAATTTAAAACTTTGAAATTGTTTTGTTTACTAAGTATTTTAAAACTAAAGGGCTAAAGTGCTTATTTCCAGTGCTTTATTGTTAACGTCTGCCAGTGGGTTTAGGGCAACAAGCAACAAATTCTCTTAGAAGGGCTAAGTCATCATCTGCTGTAAACCTAAGACTCTTTATAGGTTCTTTAGTATTGGAAGAGGTGGAATCCATATTTTGGGCCATATTTATTTAATTAAAATAATCCCAGCTACTTAAATATCAAAAAATTACCTAATAAAACTAAAGCAATAATTCAAAACAATTCAAACATAACCTAAAATAAAATATCTCGCCGGCCAGCTCCGGTTGTCAAACACCCGCACATGCCCATTTAAGCAATTTTTAAACGTTATCAGAGGTTATTTAGAAAGAGCGCTTGGTGTAATTGATCCGCAAATTACGTCAGGCGGTAACGTTATTAGCGGGTGTTGCGTTAAAAATTGACTCGCGCATATCGTAACCATGATAAGGTACGCGTAAATACTGGATGACGCTATTCGGTTTTCCGATATCTCTCTAATAACTGTGCCGGTCAGGCGCTGTGCACAATTTTAGAGGCCATAAGTGGGCGTGCTATGTGCGCAAACTAGTCACCTAACTAGTGCCCGATTCCGAAAATTGGAACCACGAAAAACAATAAAGAAAAAACAAAGATTATAATCTGCTGTGGTATGATGAAGTTCATCGATGCGATTCTTCGATGAGAATCGTTCGATTGTTTGGAAATTGGCCCTCAGTTGTGTTCGTCATATTTTTTTTGATTGTTCGCCCAAAAAACGACATTCCGCCAGTTGAAGAGAGCAGTTCGATATTTATTGGGACTGAACAGTAGAACTCGCTGCCAGAATTTCTTTAAAAAATTCAAAATACTGACTCTTCCTTCTTTATTCATTTTTAATCCGTTTGCTTAATCCGCAAGCACATATCTGCTATTCCCGAAAGGCCATCTCACAACTATCCACTTAGGAATGCGGAGCACGATCTTTACCTGCCAACCCCGAACTCAGAACTAGTTAAAGGCTCAATACTGTACAATGCCAAAAAAATGTACAATTATCTGCCTTTGAACATCAAGTCGCTTTCATTCTTTCCCGCATTTCGCAAAGCTCTAAAATCATACTTACTGGAGAGAGCCCTATATGCGGTAAACGACTATTTTGTTGATGTTTAATCATGAACAAATATAAATTTTAAAATTTTGATCATCTCACACACTGGTCAAAGGTCGAGTATTTAATATTTTATAACTCTTAAAATTATATCCGTTTACAATTTTCCTATTGTAAAATTTTATTGATACGCCTTTTTTGTGTTTTGCAATTGTCCATGTATGTTCTATTTGTAATTTTAATGACTTAATTTTTTTTGAATTGTATGATTTGAAGACTACACGGGAAAAACGGACTAAGTCCAAAAAAATGGAAATTGAGATAATACTGCCATCTTATGCCCATCAAGTGTCCGTTCCAAAAGGAATAATGTAACACTGAAATAATGATCTAAGTTCACTAAAATCAGCGATTAAAATATTAATACTTTGGAAAAGCGATCTAAGTCCACGTGAATTCACGGAAGACCGATCCAAGTCCATATTTCATGTTTGTAAACATATCAACGCATACAAAACGAATAAAAATAGCTATATATTCAGCACCACAACAACTTTATGCTGACCTAATTCCTTTGCCCAAACTCAAGTACAAAGTAGACCAAGTAGTAATTTTTGAAAAAGTTTGTAGATGAATCTCTGCAAGACTACTACACAAATTTGCCTTGTGCGTCAAACAGTGCTCATCTAAACGATACAGATATGGTGAGTAATATTAGTTAAAGAATATTGCTTTTATTTCTGCCTAAGAAAAGAAGTCTGATTACGTCTATTGTGTCACTAGTTTTAAATCCAAAGAAATTAAATTCTGGAAATGTTCTAGTGGAACCATAAGGGAACTGTCTAGTAGTGTAGTTTCATTTTATCAGAAACTAATCGCCATTCCTAAGTAAAAAATAATCTAATGCTAATAATATTAATAAAAAAATAATAATAAAAATAAGAAATAAATAAAAAAAATATTAAGAAAATATAATAAATAACAATATTAATAATAAAAATGAGAATAAAAACATTTTTCTCTTTATTCGAGCACGAGTAATCCACGGAGTAACCACATACAGAATTATTCCATATGGAATTGGATCAGTTTTCCATTGAACCAAGTGAATACGAGTTTTATTTTATCTAACAAATTTGCTACAAATTATTTTTCTTTTTTTTTGTCTGTTAATCAATTAATGTCTATACATATAACTATTGATAAAAACTTCTTACGATTCGTTACATTTTATTATTTCTTTTCCTTTAGTCTTTAAAGTTTCAAAGTCATTTATCTAAAAAATTGGAAAATGTGAATTAGATCGTTTTTCCCGTGTAGTCTTCATTTGTATTGTATATTTTTTATTATTTGTATATTTTTTGTGCTTTTGTTTGTTTTGTAAATGCTTTGTCGATGAAGCTATTTTGGCTTTTCACAATAAAGCGTTATTTATATTATAGACGACTGCATCAACGAATAGTGAGTATGCACAGTAAGTGAAGTGATTAACATGGGAAATTGGAACAATTTTCGTTGCACGTCATCAATGATACCATGCGTCGTCTTATGGAGTTTGCTGGTGGTCGTATTATGATGTGCAACGAAAGTTATTTTAATTTCCCATAGAATATTTTGTGCAAAGACAATTTGAAGTCTCTGATTTCCCTTATTTGGATAAGTATCAACAAAGGGGATAGAACTAGCTTTTTTACTTGTTCTGTAAAATATTTGTTTAAGTAAAGTGCCATTGTTAGTTGCTATTAAAGCGGGAACAGAGCTAGGAATATTTGGACCGGAAATTAAATACTTCGAACCAATAGGCATCCTGGCAGAAATCTACGCAATCGAAAAGTGCCTACAACTTATCTTAAATAGCAACTGTCAAAAACCAGAAATACTCATCTTATCCGAGAGTCAAACATACTTAAAAGTGCTCAAATCAGTAACCATCAATTCCAAGTTAGTGAAAGAATGCTTAGAGAAATTGTACAAATTAGGCAAAGAAAATAAAATCCTTCTACTCTGGGTGTCAGCCCACGAAAGAATAGAAGGTAATGGAAACGCAAACGATCTAGCTAGAAAAGGAGCGAACACTTAACCGGATCAGAACCTTTCTATCCGTAACATGGAATATACATATACATACATACATATACATACTGCCATTACTCGCTGACGAGTATTCGACACGCATCAAAAGATGGTCACGCAAGGCGTTTTCTTTCATGAGCTTTTCTGTGACTGAAAAGCCCGATACGTGATGTTATTTTCCTACCGCACTCCGGACATTCAAAAATCTCATTGCTTTGTTGCCTCTTTACTTTTTGGTTGTCGCTGTTAACTGAGTTTACAATTCTTCTCCATTGAGTTCTATTGTGAACTGCTTCTTCCCAATGATTCTGCATGTTAATCCCCTTTAAGTTTTCGTGGAAAATGTCCTTGTACCTTTTGAATTGTCCACCCGGCCTCCTCTTACCGTCTACAAGCTCACCGTAAAGCAGAGATTTTGGTATGCGGTTTTCTTGCATTCTGCATACGTGACCAGCCCATCTTAAGCGGGATTTTGTAACCATGACTTCAATACTCCCGCAGTTAGCTTTTTCAAGGACCGATACGTTTGAGACATGATGAAACCATCGGATTCTAAAGAGTTGTCTAAGGTGTCTCTGTTGGAACTTGTTTAATGCCTTCATGTGTCGGCGGTATAGCATCAAGGTTTTGCTCCCATATAACAAGGTGGGGATTATAATTGCTCGGTACACTGCCAGTTTCGTTTTTGTACTCAAGTCATGATTGAAGAAAACCCTGTCTTTTAATTTCCAGAATGCTCTTGAGGCGCTGCTAATCCTGTGCTGAATTTCAGAGTCGATATTGGCCTTTTCCGAAATCAAACTGCCGATGTAATTAAATTCCGCTACATATTCCAATAGTTCCCCTCCGATTTTTACAGCATTGTTATGATCTTCCGGGGGAGTGCACATGATTTTGGTTTTGTCTTTGTTTAGCTTAAGGCCCAAAGCCTCGTATGCCCAGGTATATGTGTTTAACATTTCTTGTAATTGTTGTAACGTGTTTGCAACTAGAGCGCAGTCATCAGCGTATTGAAGTTCTGTGATGAATTTTGTACGTGTTTTTGCCCTCAGTCTTTTTATGTTGAACAGACCGCCGTCATATCTGTATCTAATGCCCAATCCTCTCTCCTGCAGTTTGCTGTCCACTATAATGGAGAGCGCTACCATGAATATGTTGAATAGAAGAGGTGCTAAGACACATCCCTGTCTAACTCCTGTATTAATCAGGAAGGGATCGCTCAGTGATCCATGATGTGACACTCTTGACTGGTTGTTGTTATGGAGGCTTTTAAACACTGTAAGAAATTTGTTGGGTACTCCGAACTTTTTCATAATTGCCCAAAGTGCATCTCTGTTCACAGAGTCGAAGGCTTTTGTTAGATCGATGAATGCAAAATAAAGTTTAGAGTGCTGTTCTTTTACTTTTTCCTGTAGTTGGCGGATGGAAAATATGGAATCGACGGTGCCACCGTTGCGTTGGTGCGAAAACCTCTTTGCGATTCTTGTAACATGGAATGGGAATCCTCCAACGGTCTAAGACACTCGAAGAAGTTTCTCAGAACTTACAATCGAGAAAAATTGAAGGTTTTCCTTGATTTGAGTAAGAACAGTCTTCGGTTGGTCACGGGGTTTTAACAGGATACTGTTCCCTCAATAAACACCTCAGTAGATTGAAGCTTACAGTCTTTACCTCTCATTCATATCTGTGCATTAGTGGACTATGAAATATCGGATATGTGGCAGTCCTGATTATTGTGAGTTCTAATAACCTGATGAGAGATTAGATATTCGCGTTTGTTTAATTGCGTGTATGATGGGCGACTATTATTGTGAAAATTGCCCCTGCAGATTCTCAATTCATTGTTATTTTACATAAATCTGATATTCAGAATTTCAATAGCAATATTTTAATGGGGCTATTCATAAAAAAACTTAGTCATGGGTCGTCTAAATAATAATTTAATTATTAATAATTATATAATAATTCGTCTGAGGTTATGTCTAGGATCTTAAATAATTGAGATAAATTTAACAACTGGTAATTTTCCTTCATGATTTGTTAATAGTGTAGCTGCCGGTGGTCTTGGCGATATTCCTATTATCAGTTGATAAATAAATGTTTACATGAAACATTATTTGTCATTTGGATTTAGATAGTGGTTTATATTGACACTTTGATAATTCTTTACTATGGCTACTATGGCAGTTATACAAAATACGGTTTTACAAGAAATGGTAAATAGATTTTTCAAAACTCTCCGTATGGTAAATACACTTGCTAAATTTGAAGAATGTAGCTGTAGTAGGTAAGTAGGTACAATGTAAGCTTAATCTAGGCATCTAAAGCTTAGGGGATTGGCAGACCAAAACATGTGCAGATTTTATCGATCTGAAGAAGAAACAGCTTAACACATTTTAGGTCAGTACAACAGCCTAGTAAATATGCGGTCCTTTGTACTAGGCAATTGAAAACGTCCGGATTTGCCCGGATATGTCCGGATTTTTAAAGTGTCCGAGGCAATCCGGCCCGGATTTGGAAAAGCGCTCGGGAAACCTGGCCGCAAAAACAATTTAACTTAGTAAAATATTTTACCACTTGCATGAATTAATTTCTCAGTTACTTTGTTGAATATTTTACAGTACATCTGCTGTGTCTATGAAAGGAATGCGGACAAAAAACATTTAAATAAAAAGCAATATATTTTATACGTCAATTTGACGAGTGCGTCACCGCAAATCGCTCTGCCCACTCATTTTATTGGCTACTTGCAAATTTGTTGAATTTTTATTGATGGGATGCGTCGTCTATTTTTTTACGAAAAACATCGAGAGAATATCGTTTCCCCTCTCACGGATACCCCGTAGCTACAGAACGGACAGACGTACTCTGTGGACGTACTGTAGTCTCAACGATGCTATAACTCTACTTAACCGACGCGACGCATGTTCGAAAGTAACCATTTCTATACTTTGGCGCTCAAATTTTTCCCTTTTGGTGCACTCCTGAAAGTGAATGTTTTTCTGGTTTATATTTTGTTGATCCCGGGCTATTATTTGCGTCCTATATAAAAGTTCATAAATAAATTTATAGTTTCTTTTTTTCTACGTCCGGATTTTGTCGGGATTTGTGAGTTCACTTGTCCGGAATTTTCAAAAGCCTTTATGGAAACCCTACAAAGAGATATAGTGGGGGTTCAGTCTAAAAGTAGCTAGACTTTTTGAAAAAAAATAGGACTGGCGAATGTAACCAAGAGATCGGAAGAGGACCACAATAGATATGAAAAAAAGTCGTAGTGGAACAGGCCGATAACCACCTCAAAAATAAATCTAATCGAATCTAATCCAATCTAATAAATTTTTAATGGTCTGCGTTTGGCAAATACAAAAGCCGTGAACAATTTTGGACAAGCCCATTTTAACTAATTTAAAAAAATGCATTTATTTTTAAATTAAAACTGAACAAGGTAATAGTGTAGAACTTGTCAATCTATGGTATTATATTATGTGCATTTGAAAGTACTACTCCAATTTAATGATATGTGGTTATAATATGTGGTAAAATTAAATAAAACTTCAATTAATATTAAAACATTCTTATATTTGCATTCTTATTCCTATAATATTGAACTTGCTTTGGTCTTAAATATTAGTTAATAATTTAGGAATACCTTGTCTGTGTATAAAAAATATTAAACTTAAAAACTAACCTAAGAATTATAGGGTTTTGCGGTGGTAGTCAATCTCCGCGGCTTGTCTAGTGTGGTTATACTTTTTTCTGAAAAATAACAAAAAAATGTGTAAGATATTATGAGTAAATCAACTTTTATTGTGTTTATTTTGATTTCGTAGCTAATTTTGGTTTGACAGTTAATTTTGAAAATAGTTATTTGTTTACTAAGGCCGTAAAGTTGATCTTTTTTGGCCGAATATTGGCCTCGGCTACGCCTCGGTCATTACAGTTGAGGGTTGGAACCTTTGGTGTTACAGAGCAAAGTAAAACACTAAATCACCACAATACACCAAAACACTTTTTCTTTTACACTTGAGGCGCGTTTCGCTAACCATGTTAGCATCATCAGCAGATTATAAACTAAAATACAATCTACAACTGGAGCGTTTATATACTCGCTCAGTGGGCGTGGCAAGATCTGGCCAACCGAGTCAGAAGCAAGTTTTGAAGTGGAGGCTAAGAATCAGTTTAAGTATTTTCCAAGAGTATGGTTTAGGTATGTGGATGATATTTTTGCTGTTTTTGACACACATTCAGACACCATAGATAATTTTATTTCTAAGTTAAATAATCGTTTTCCTTCCATTAAATTTACACATGAAATTGAGAACAACGACAGATTACCATTTCTAGATGTATTAGTTATTAGAAATACTAATAATTGCCTGGAATTTGATATCTATAGGAAAAATACCACTACACGCAGATATATTCCTAATGAATCATATCATAGTATTGAACATAAAATGGCTAGTTTAAATTTCTTAGTTCATAGATTACTTAGTTTTCCACTTTCCAACGAAAGATATGAAATAGAAAGAGATTACATTAGGAATGTAACTGAGTGTAATGGATATTCTCCTTCACTAGTTGATAAAATAATTAGAAAACGTAGGTATAGGTTAATGATTTCTGAAAATTCGACTTTTCAAGTGGAGAAAGATACGTCAAAATATTTTTCAATACCGTTTGATAGACAGTTATCCCGTGGTCTAAAAGGAATTTTTAAGAATGTCAATTATAAACTTGTGTATAGTTCTAATAATAAATTACAACAATTATTAGATAATCCAAAGAATAAAACACCTCTACTGGAAAGGTCGGGTAATTATGAAATTTCTTGTAAAAATTGTAATCAGTAATATGTTGGGCAAACTAGAAGATCAATATTAACTAGATTTAAAGAACATTTAGCTCAGATCAGATATGGTAGAGCTGATAAATCTTGCGTTGCCGAACATATTGTTGATAAAGAATATTATATAGATCTTAATAACTTAAAATTACTTAAACAAGTCTCAAATTACAGGCAATTAGATGCATATGAAAGCATCAGAATTAATAAATGTAAAGATAGTATGAACAGAGACAACGCTCGGTGGGTTCTGACTCGGTTGGCTAGATCTTGCCACGCCCACTCTGTGCCCACTGAGCGAGTATATAAACGCTCCAATTGTAGATTGTATTTTAGTTTATAATCATCTGCTGATGATGCTAAGCGAAACGCGCGTCCAGTGTAAAAGTAAAAGTGTTTTGGTGTATTGTGGTGATTTAGTGTTTTATTTTGCTACGCCTCGGTCGCAAATTTCAGGTGAGGACAACAAAGATCATACGGCCGAGGTGCACACAATTTTTTTTAAGTGAGTGTCTTTTGAAGTAGGTATCATTTTTTTACAATTTTGTTTCTAAATAAAGACGAAACTGGAAGATTAGATTCAAATTTTTATTAACCAAATGAAAAGCGTATTATTAAGTAACAAAGATGTGTACAGAATTACTTACAGTATTATAAACAGAGGTTGGGTTATAAAGAAGTTAATAAATTAAGTGTGTTTAGTAGGCCGCCTTTATAATTTGACAATCTTAATATCGGACATGGAAATAACTCAAATAAGTAAATTACTTAAATGTGTCTAGTAGACTGCCCTCATAATGACTTTGTTTGCAAAAGCGGCTGTAAAGTAAAAAAGCGGCCAAAAAAGATACACTTTAGGGACGTTAATAGATTCGTAAAACTTGTTTTTTTGTGACACTCACTTAAAAACGTTATTTTTATAAACACTTCCTGATATATCATAAGAGTATAAAAATGTTATCTCATCTTACCGATGCTCTGTCTTTGATGAACGATTCTTTGCAGACGTTAGCGGCGTTCCAGGGGTTCACCAATTTACACTCGCAATCCAAGCCTTGTTCTTTGTTGATCAGTTGATCAACAATGTTGACGGCAGCAGTGTGAAGGAACTGCTTCTGTTCTCCTTTGTTGTTCAGGAAATTTTCGTTGATGAAAACGTTACCACGGTTCTAAAATCATTAAAAAAAATACGTTAGAATATTGTACAAGTGTGTGTTTTCTTTTCTATTTTTCATATAAAAACATAATAGGCGCCTGTCGATATATATTAAATGTCATAATTAACTGTCATCTTTAGTTAACGTGGAATTTTTGAAGTAGAATTGGAAAATGGATTTAAGCCGAAAAAATGTTTGCCCAATAATTCATAATTTTCGAAGACAGTTGTCCCAACAAGAATGCCTTGCCGAGTTGGTTTCTTTTTTCGGCAATCAAGCACCACAGTCGACAGTTTCTCGTTGGTGTGGAGAATTTAAACGTGGATGGATTTGTCTTAGCGACGATCCATGAACAGGTCCACCAACAATGACAGTCACACAAGAAAACGTCGATGCTGTACGTAAGTTGATCCAAGAAGATTGACAGATCACATATCGTGAAATTGAAGTATTGTTGGTAATTTCAAAGACCTCAATCAAAAAAAAATACATGGCGAATTGTCTAAAAATATATAGTATATATTTTTATCAATCTTTCAGTGCCCTGCCCTATACAGAGCATTTGCTCTCGCATATGTAGACACTTTTGATGTATGGCCATCAGTATTCACAATTACTCGGGATCTGCAGTTTATAGCCGAATACAAATAGCACTATTTGAGGTGCTGTACTAGACAAATATCCCAAGTAGCATTTTTAGAATAGAAAATCAAAACAAAATCTCTGCTGAGAGACATTGCGAAACAATTTCGTGACATTTTTGATACATATGTTTCGTAACACAAATAGCTTTTTGTTTCGAAACATTTTACTAAAATATGGTTTCGCTAGATAAGCTATAACGAAGATAGTGTCTTAGTGTCACAAATTTATCTAAAGTTTTAAGAAACAGAACATAATCTTACTTTATTGTTTGGATTTTGTTCTGCAGTTTTTAAATATATAGGTTTCGAAAATCTTTCCTATTTGTGGCATACCGTTTCCATTTTGTGTCAAGAAACAGACACAATTATTAGAAACGTTACCTAAAATGTACCCAAAAATGCTACTTGGGAAATAACAAATTAGTTTCTCGTCGGATACCACATCTGTTGATAGAAGAAGAGAAAGCAATTAGAGTCAATTGGTGCCAAAAACTCTACATCGGTTTAACGCTGGAAACTCAAGCAATATATATAGTGCTGTCAGTGCCGGTGAATCCTGGATTTACTCTTATGAACCCAAAAATAAACATCAATCGGCTGTTTGGGTACTCCGAGATGAACGAAAATCTACGAAAGTTCTGGAAGTGTTTCAAAAACCGGTCATGTAGCAATAATTTCTCTGCTAAATCAAAAAACTGTTACTGCTGATTGGTACATATCAATTTGTTTGTCAGAAGTAATTGCTGAGTTTCGAAAAACCAACCCCTAATGACAAACAATCCTCGACCAAGACAAAGTAAGTTCCCACACAGCTCGAAAACAATTGAGTTTTTAAAGCAAGGAAACATAGAATTGTTGGACCATCCTCCATATAGACCCGACCTAAATCCTAACGATTTTTTATTTTTCGAAAAAATTAAGAATGAACTGGAAGGACAAAGGTTCCAGTCCCCAGAAGATTCAATCAGCGCCTTTAATAAACGCAATTTTGGAGGTACCAACAAGCTAGTGGAATAAATTCTTTCAGAACTGGTTTCAACTGATACAAAAATCCAATGTTATCTTCGTGGAGAATACTTCGAAAAATATTGGTGTTTAAAAGTTATCTACTGTCTTTTTTCTACCCCAATATAAAAGACAACCCTCAACCCAATTAATGGAGTATTGTGTGGCCTCTTTACTTAGAGATGTCCTTGGTTGTACTCTTTAAATAATGATCAACAACTTACGTTAATGACAAATTCCAGACAGTAGTCCTCATAGTCGAGCTCTTTGTGCAGTTCAGAACTGCCTTTGGGAGCCTTTTTACTCTGGGACAAAGTAATGACGGATTCATCGTTGAATCCAACGATATCCTTGATCTTCTTGGGGTCTTTGACGGAGAGAGTCTTGACAGGGCTGAACAGGTTGATGGAGATTTGAGAGTTACTGTAGAGGGAAGCGATTAATTTTTGAATCTGAAAAAAATATAAATCAGTTAAAAAAGTGATTTAAAGCATAAAAGACAAAATATTATGTTATCACGATATATCTTTGATTAAAAATACGATATAAGGAAAAAGTCTAATATTATTTATGTATCAGAGCATATTTTTGACAGTTTTGATTGAGGTTTCAATCGACACAATTGCATTTGATTTGAAATTATACGGATTTTGGTATTTTCTGAGCTTAGGTATGCTATTTGAAAAATAGCATATAATTGGTTTTATTCAGAGGTTATAAATCTAAAAGGATATTGTTTCAGAACATAAATTAACAGTGACATTATTTTGCATTCCAGAAAAACTGGAAATAAGGGAATAACTTTTCACTGGCGAGTAACTATGCAGGGTGAGTCTTAAATAAGTGCAAATATTTTTAGGGGTAGTATATTTCGACTCAGAGACACGTCTTGGAGATTTTTTCCGAGAATTTTTTTTTTTGGAAAAATTAGGAATTTTTTGAAAAAATTTGGAATTTTTTGAAAAAAAGTTTTAGTTTACACATAGACAGTGCATTAAATTTACAAGAAAAAAGTAAAGTAAAGATCTCAGTTAACGTCTCCTTTTTGCTGCCAGGGCTAATCTGGACGGTGCCTACTTTGTTTACGCGGAATCCGAACCGCGATCCTCGGCCATATCATGGTCAATGACCTACCGACTTGGCAAGTGTCTAAATCAACTCTTACTCACGAGATATCCGATCTCATCCGGCCTCGAACCGGCGTGAATGAGCAGTGTGTGTCAATAGATTTTACACTTTTGCCTTTATTGGACAACAGCTGGGCCGGTGCCCTCCTAAATTTACAAGAAAGAAAACCCAGAAAAGATCTAGTTGTTCTCAAAATTTAAGCGAAAAATATATTTTTTTAAATTTTCAAAGTAAAATATTTCGACCATTTTGGACTTATCTGAAAAACCGTTCTTAGAAAAATGTTTAGAAAAACGGTACGTAAATATTTGTACTTATTTAAGAGACTCATTCTCTACAGGGTGAGTTTTTAGGGATGCTATATCTCGACCCTAGAAACACGTCTATGAGGTTTTTTCGCGAATTTTTTTTGAACATTTGGAATTTTTTTAATTTTTGTTTAATTTTTAGTTAAAAAACATAATATCTTCATAATATGGCAACATAGGTAGTAGATTAAATTTACAAGAAGGAAAACCCAGAAAAGGTTCAGCGATTTTCAAAATGTACGCGAAAATCCATTTTTTGGAATTTTTAAAGTAAAATATCTTGGCTATTTTGGACTTATTAGAAAAACGGAAAGAGAAAATATGTTTCTTTTATCGATATCTACCAGCCTTGAAAATATTTGCACTTATTTAAAACTCACCCTGTATATATACTCAATAAATGTAATGCTAGTCTTTAAATGTAGGAACTTTCCTCGTGAATATACTTACAGGGTATAATTTGCCAACTTCACAAGATTGACCGTTAACCACGATGATCGATTTCAATGCGTTAACTCTGAACGGATATTTATAAGCTTCATCGTAGGTTTGAGTCTTCAGATTCAAACCGGTTGCCAATTTTAGGTCGTGGAGGAGTTCTTTGGCCAAGGAAGCGTAGTACTGGACTTTGGTGTTTTTAATTTCTTCTGTGCTGAGCTCGTCTTTAGGAGAATCGCCGAATTTGACCTGGGGAACTTTTCCTTTGAAGGTGAGTTTTCCACCCGCTGTGACATGACTGGGCCATTGGTTGAGACCGCCGTAAGTGATCAGGTGATATTCAACATCGCTGTAATAAAAATAATAACAATTTTCTTTTTACTTTTTATTTTTCTCTACTCTCGATTTTTCGAAATTAGAAAAAATACACAGCTAAAGGCAAGAAAATATTATTTATTAATATACACTAAAGCTGTAAAAATTTTGTTCATTTCATTTAAATATAAAATGACAGCAATCTTCATTTTATAGCCATCGCTGACACCATTTTTTCGATCATAGCGTATTTGCGAGAACACTATTACGGCAACTATTATATTTCAGCAAAGATTTCAAAGTAAACTAATATAAAAAGAATATACTTAATACTTACGTTATTCCTTTGGTATGGAATTCTTTAGTAACATCTTGAATGAGTGGCTGCAGAAGTTGTTTGTACAAAACTTCGTTTTGTTTATCTGTGTCCAAGATGATGACGACGTCAGCAGATTTAGAGGGAAGTTTGACACTGAACGATTCGCCAATGCTGTAGGGTTTATCGCTGTTCGTACATTTTACTGAAATAAAAGAAATTTAGATATTATATTTTGATTCCATCATTTTAACACAGATTAAGAAAAAATGCAAAATTCTGTTAATGCTTCAAAAGTGATGAACCCAAGTTTTTCGTTTTTTCATTTTAAATGCGAAAAATATACATAGAGGAACCAGCATATCTATATTAGTAACTTTGTTTATAACTTTCAATTGTTAATAGGAAAATTTTGCAGTAAATAATGAAATATAATAAGTAAAAACTTTATTAGTAACATGGAACTGACTGTAATATGGATATGTTGCCCTCGATAGTTGAAAAGAAGAAGTTCGATCTTCTATATTCGTAATGTAATTTTTTTTTACTTACATAATGTTTTAGGGACATGGACTGGTATCTTTCTTTCATGGCAAGCGGCAACGTAAGCTTTGGCAATGGATTCTTCTATTCCTTTGGTTCCAGAGGCAAGACCACGAGCGCAAGCCAACTTGAACTTTTCGACTGGTACAAAAGCGAAGCAAGGACTCAAAGAAGATTCCCAGCTGAAGAGTTTGTTACAGATTGGATTCTCAGGAACCTGAAATGGAAAGGTATATAATTATTTTATTTTATTTCTAGATGTAGATTAAATGGGAGTGGGGAATAAATCACCGCGACCTTATAGATCTATTCAGTCTAAGGGCTTTGACAAAAGCCAGTATCTGAGACTGTTTTACAGAGGTTACTACTCCACCTACGATATCAGTTCTACCAAAGTTTATAATATGGCACGAATGATTGTCGTCTCGGCGCACTCAGTGATGAGGTGTTCTGGTGTTTCCCCATTTGTTCCTTAGCTTCAATCTACTGACGTGTTCATTGAGGAGACAGTGTCCTATTAAAAACCCCGTGAAAATCCGAAGATTGTTTTTACTTAAATCTAGGAAAATTTTGTTGATTTTTCTCTGTCGTAAGTTCTTCGAATGTATTAGCTTTTTTGAGGACTTCTTTCAGACTCTAGGTTCTGCTTTAAGTTGGTTTCCAATTGAGAAGCAGAACGATTGTTGCTTTTCTAGATAGATCTTTGCTTTTTCATTTCCTTCTATCCTTGGGTGGGCTAGAACCTAAAGTAGGAGAACTTTATTTTCTTTGTCTAATTTGTTTAGCTTCTCTAGACATTCTTTGACTTTGAGGTAATCGCTCTTAAGGTTGGTTGACTATCGGATAAGATGGATATTTCTTGTTTCCGATAATTCCTATCTAAGATAAGTGAATGTTATCTGTGATAAGCTGTACGCATCTTTCGATAGCGTAGATATCTGCCTGAAGAATGCTGAGGTCTGATAGCAGTTATTGCTTTGGTTTTGGAAGCGATATGCAGCTTGCAGTTTATCCCTGTTCCTGCTTTGGTTTTGGAAGCATCATTATATCACGTTATGGCATGGTCTGTTAATTGCTAAGCAAACTCTTCCAATTCCTGTGTCCGTTTTTTGTACACGTTTTTAACACATTGGAGATTGTTAGAAATTAGTAAAGTTTTTGCGAATATTATTTATTTTTTGATTATAATGTAACGTTTTTAGTTCGTTACATGTCTTTGTATATGATATATGATGTCTGGCGTATCATCACAGGGGAGTGATAACGTCCTTCCCTCTCGTTCAGGCCGGATAATTTATTTGACGCGCTTGGCGTAATTTTTACGTTCTCTAGTCAGCAACCCTCCTATCGTTTCACTGCTTTGTGGAGGCGCTGTCAACATCGCTCCAAGGTCTCTCTACGCTGTGGACTTTTGTTTTTGCCGCTCTACGCTCACCTTCAGAGCCCTGCTTAAAGAAATTGCAATTATTTAAATCTTGCTGTATAATTTGAATCAGCTGCTATTTCGAAGCTACAGGGTAGAGTTACGGATGTCCCAACTTAACTTGTATTTGTATTTTGCTGGCACGTTGGCGTTCCTTTGCTTGTGTCCTCCAGAATGTGTATTGGAAGAAAGGACAATTGCCTTTGTTTATTATAGAGCCCTCAGAAGTATTTCGAGGGTTTTATGGACGGGCATTATCTTATGGACGGGCATTATCTTATGGACGGATGTCCAAGTTACAGACAATATCCAAGGTACTGGTAGTGTCCCCATATTGCCACAGTATGGATGTAGCGTAAGCCCCATATTGCTTCGTTCCCATTTCTAAGCCTAGTCAGTAGTTACGGCTGTATTGATTCATGGTGTCCTCATTCTGGTCCCTTTTGTTGTATTGGCTAATAGGATAGCCGAGAGACAGTATAGAGATATGAGCCCACCTCACGCTGCTACTCTTTGAAACAGGATTGCCTCAAGAACAGCCAAGTGTAGATTTAGGTTCTGGTTTTCAGTCGATTTTCAGTCTTAACATAATAACGTACATTATAAATAATATCGTACTGACTATGTTTAGTGGTTAGATTATTAAGAACATTTATGTCCATTTAGTAGTTACAATATGATTTAGATCTTAGGTTTCATTACATTACGTCTTGTAATAGTATTACTTTCTATAGATATTATTATTGCGCTATATTACAGATGAATAACCAGACATAGATTCTAGAATCTACAGGTTGCAACATATCAGATTTAACACCGCATAAAATTTAACAAATTAAATAAAGTAATGCTACCTTTCATATATTTTCTATAACTTTACACGCATTGTACTTTTCCATAGTCTTTTCATAGAACATATTTAATATTATGTACATACATAGCTTTTACTCGACATATAACCACTATAATAATTATTAAAATTGTACAATACTATTTACCATCAGGATACATCGTGAATGAATATAGTCACTAGTTTTAAGTAATAAACAACTGTGTTTTCTTTCTCTGTTCATGCCTGGCGCCCAATATTTGTATTTTCGATTTATTATTGTTAGTTAGTTTCTTTCCAGTGAAATGCCTTATCCACGACTGCTCTACCAACGAAAAGCTGCCGTTCGAGTGGTAATGTTTAATAAAAAAAAAAACGCTACAATAATAATTACTAATCCAAAGAATCACCAACAAACAAGAAATCTCTTGACTGAATAAAGACTTATTCTCTTAAATTATATGAAACAAATTTTAACTTACGGCATCGCTCTTAACAGTGACGTCAGCACATCCACTATTCAACTTGTAGCTGTTGACGAATTCACTCTCGGACGTGACAACCTTGCCGCTGGGTAATGTATAGTCGTCGAAGGGTTCGCTGTTACCGTTACCCAGAAGTCCCTTGACTTGACCGTGGTAGTATCCGGAAATGGAGACTGCACAGCCTGTGAGGTCTGGAACGCACACTACGGAAGCTCCAGAGGTCGAGAAGAGGGTGACAACTTCGTAGTCTCTCCAGGCAGCCAGGTTGGGTCTACGGACTGGTAGTTCTTGCGCAGCTGAAATTGTTATTTGCAATATTAGTTTATGAGCTATGTAGAATTAAAGTGATATTAGAGAGCAGTAATGGTGAACCTATGACACATCGGTCAGTGCTGACAAGCGAGCTCATTTTTTGTGACAACATCTTCAAAGATACAAAATTTTATAATTCAAATATTTGTCTCTCATAAAGACCAGAGCTGGTTATTAATAATGATATTATTACTTATGTTAATAAAATAGGTAATTGATAATTTAATTCTGATACCAGACGTACGAGGCGTTCTTGTGTCGGAGAAATATCTACTGTATGTTTGAATCTTATCATACCAATAACAGTACAGATACCAGTACCAGTGAAATGTAAGTAGCAGTTATCATCCATTTCAAGACATATGGATCGAAATGTACGGGATTGTTGACAGAAACAACAGATCTCTATCTTTTTTTTAGTCTTTTTTATGATGCTTTTTTAATACGCCACGAAAATTATTTTCGATTTTTGAAGTTAAACTTCTTTACGCGCAGTGGGAATAAAAATTCAAGGCCGTGACACGACACGCAACACAACACGCGAGAGTTAAAGTAGAAAGAAACGGAAAACCGTTAGGAAAAAATAGGGCTTAGAAAAAATCGTCCGCTTTAAATTAAATTTGGTATGTCAATAGATTGGACCAAGGCCGACTTGACGTGTACGCTACTCGTCACTGTACAGTTAATTTTGACGTAAGAAACATCAAAAGTTGATGTCTTCGCCACATAGGTATAGACATTTTTTACGATTCTCTTACCGTTTCCAACTTTCACTTGTCCACCCTTGACCAGAGTGATGACGTCATTTTTGTCGGCAAGAGTAACGGAAGCCAGATGACCGTCCTTGTAGCTACCGGCGATGCTGAAGTTACCGTTGACAGCGTCTCTGGCAAACAAGTAGTTGCATGTTCCGGGAATAGAGTATTGTTCACCATCGAAAGTGAAGATGTGTTGTCCTTGGATCACTAAACCGAATACTGCAAAAACAAAAAAAAAGTTCGAATTATACATCATTACTATTAATTGGAAAATCAATAATAGCCATCAAAATATCCGACAAATATATGTTGTAGTGTTGCAGCGGTTAGTTTTTACTTTGACTTAATAGAAGAATAAAATGGAAAATTACACATATCAGATTTGCAAGAAAAAAACTCGTGATGATCGGCAATATTTGTCATGACTACCAACATAAAGTTTTTTTTATCAACAAATTTGTTTACTTAATGCTACAGCATGCTGTTAACCAGGATATAAGATTATAACCTTGTTTGTTGACGAGATTACTTACATGGGAATGGCGGTAATAAGGTAGGGCTTCTCAAAACGCTGCTGATTAAGTTACTGACTTCAGCAAACGTGTTCTCGTTTTGCAAGTAGTTCAATACGGAGAATCTAGCTGCAACAAGTCGAGGAAGACTACTGATTAGGCTGGGTGGGATGATATTTTTATGATCTAGTTTTGCAGCGCTAACTTCGCAACATTCTGATGAAACCAGGTTGACTATCTTGTTGATTATGGATACCACAATCTTGCCCAGTTTGTCGAATACTTCACCATCATTAACTTCTTGGTTTTTCAGTTTCTAGAAATGTAATAAATTATGTTTTGGTCATAGAAAGGTTAAAAGATAGCATTGCAACTATAAAAAGTATTGCAACAGCGCGTCGGGCATCTGTAGCTCATATAATAAAAAAATTGGGAATTTTGTTTAAGTACAAACCTGAAGTATGTACTGGGATGTATTTCAGAAAAATATTTTAACTTGTACAGGTTGCATGGTTCAAAAATTTGTGAGTGGATAGGGATGCTTTTTTTAAATAGAACACCCTGTATAGTATAGCATTTTTGGCTTCTTTTCTATTCTCAGTGATGAGGTGTGTGTGAAATCACTTTACATAATCCTAAGATATTATTAATTTTGTTTAGATAGTTTAGATAAATAATATAAAATAACACATAAATAACGCATAATAAATAAATAAAAATAAGCAGCAAATAAATATATAAATAAAAATATATATTTTTCAGCCTTTTAAAACAAAATATATTAAAAATACAAGAAATGCCCTGAAATCAAAACAATACAAGTATTTAGTATAGTTTATCTGTACCGGGTGTCCCACTAAGAATAGCTCTCGGCTGTATCTCGGGAAGTATTAGCCGTAGAGCTTACGGAAAAAAATATTTATAACTAAAAGGGCTATGAGAAATTGCTGGAAATTATTTTCAAGTTTGTAAAACGTCCGCTAGGTGGCGCAACTGCTATGAAAAATAAGAAAACAGATTTTTTTACAGAATTTTGCCTAGATAATGGATACTATAAATAATAGCTTCATAATCTTCAGTAAATTTTGGATTTTTTTTTAGAACCATTTTCCCCTATCTGCTAAAATAAAGTGGTGGGGGAAGGTTAGATCTATCTTTATTTAAATGGTAATAACTTCGGACTGGATGATCAGAATCCAACAAACGAGGGCTCGTTTAAAAGAGCGTTTCTTACTCTATATTATACCATAAAAATAATAATAATAAGGTTTTGTACGTAGACGCTAGGGGGCGCTTTCTTACAATTTAACAAATATAGCGCGTTTTTTCAAAAAAAATAAATATGATAGTATGTGTTATTTTAGCTGATAGTAAAGAGTAGAAAAAGCTTAAAAAATCAGCGAAAACTGCATCTTGATATCTTCTTTCAAACCAAAGATATTCGCAAAATTATAATAAATACCAAAAAATAAGTCCTTAATTATCTTATTTTTACAATACAGTATCAGTAGCCCTCTTGATTAGGTCCATTCAAACAAAAAAATAAGATAGAAACAGTTAGTTTATTTTAAAATCGACGAAATACCAGAATACCATAATACCAGATGTATTAATATCTAATAATTAAGATATATAAATAGTGAACAAAAAACGATGATTCAGTGAAGACATGGTAGGCTTTGGGAAATAGTTCCTTTTCGCGTAATAGTAACTTGTTATTAGGTCAACATTTTGATAGTCTTAGCAACGTTTTTTTTATCTTTTAAATGCTTTTTCAAAATGCCTTTATTATTTGAAGTAGTTGAAGTTGTTGGCATTTGGAAAAAGCAATCAAAAGATAAAAACGCTGCATCAAAGACTATCAAAATGTTGATCTAATAACAATTTGACGTTTATACTATTACTTCAAAAGCAACTTTTTTCCAAAGCTTACCATGACTTCACTGAATCATCGTTTCTTGTTCACTATTATTAATATCTTAATTATTAGATGTTAATACATTTGATAATTATGATATTCTGGTATATCGTCGATTTTAAAATAAACTAACTGTTTCTATCTTACTTTTAGGTTAGAATGGGCATAATCAAGAGGGCTACTGATACCGTGTTGTAAAAATAAGATAATTAAAGGCTTATTTTTTTGGTATTTATTATAATTTTGCTAATATCTTCGGTTTGAAAGAAGATATCAAGATGCGGTTTTCGCTGACTTTTTAAACTTTTACTACTCTTTACTATCAGCTAAAATTACATATACTATTGCATTTAATTTTTTCGAAAAAACGCGCAATGTTTGTTAAATTGTAAGACAACGCCCCCTAGCGTCTATGTTCAAAAGCTTATTATTATTGTTTATATGGTATATAATAGAGTAAGAAATGCTCTTTTAAACGAGCTCTCGCTTGTTGGATTCCGATCATCCAGTCCAGAGTTATTAATATTTAAATAAAAACAGATCTAACCTTCCCCCACCACTTTATTTTGGTAGATAGAGGTAAATGGCTGTAACAAAAAATATTCAAAATTTACTGAAGATTATGAAGCTATTACTTATAGTAGACCTTATCTTGGCAAAATTGTATAAAAACTCCATTTTCTTATTTTTTGTTGCAGTCGCCCCAAACTTGAAAATATTCAACAATTCTCGTAACCTCTTAACTATAATATTTTCCACCTTCACTGACTAATACTTTCCGAAATTTCGTAATTTTAAAGTATACAGGGTGTTCAAAATTCCACGCCAAACTTTCTAAAATATAAAATAAATTTTCTTCTTTTTTTTAATGGAATACCCTGTATATTATTTTTTTCCTTTTAAATTTTTAACGATTTCGAAGATATTCGTGGTATTATATTACATGTGGCTTTTTCGATAATAAATTATTTTATATCTCTGAAATCATAAAAAAAAATAAATTTAATAATATCTTAGGACTGAGTAAAGTAATTATTAAGGAGAAACCCAAGGTGTACCATTAAAAAAATCATCCCGATTCACTCACACATTTTTGAGCCACCATGTAGAAGTTAAAATGTTTTCCTGAAAAAGGCTGGCACTTAAACAAAATCCCTAAGTTCTTTTTTATTGCACCTACAGATGCCCCTACGCACTGTTGCAGGACAATGTATTGTTAGTCCGAAGTTTGGGTTAAAAAACTTTATAGAAAATTCATACAATATTTTACTTTTCTTATGAAACACACTGTATGTATTTACCTTTTCAATATAACCAACTAGAGTGTCCAAAAACTGTGCAATTTCATCCTTAACTATGAATTCTGGCGGTATTACATCCTTCACAGTATTGAACACTTCTCCAATGGTGTTAATAATAACCTCGGCATTTGGCAGGCCTTCTTTGATGAGCTAAAAGAGAAATAAATATTTTTAAATATTTTCCAGACTTTATATGACTTAAATTACCTGTTGGTACTGAGATTTCAGTTCAGCAACGAATCCTGTATCAATTCTGATATTGCTGATAAATTCTCTCAAGCTCTGGTAAGTCGACTGAAGTACTTTTCCCAAATCTTGACCGACACTACTGAAACTGGTAGCCAGAGACTTAAGTTCGGGCTGGTACTGTTCGATTATATGACTGATTTTACCCAAAACAGCAAATACGATGTCAGATACAGTTCCCAAAACGTTTTTGGCTACACCAAGTAGTTTAGAGTATGCTTCCTTAATTTGTGGAATCAGTTGTTTTTCGATGCTATCAATAACTCCAGCAAAGGTGCTTTGGAGGGCTTGAACAGCGTTTTCAGCAATCTGGCTAAGTTTATCGACCAGATCTGTGAGGGCAGAAATAAAAGCTCCCAAGACTTGAGTAACTGCTTCGCTTAACTCTTTCAGGCTCTTGTCGTTCAAGATTTCTTGCTTGAACTCTTGAAGCTCGGTGGTGTAGTACTGCCTCAATGGGTTCAAGTTAGGCTGGGCTTTCTTAAGGATTTCTCCGATAAGTTGGACCTCGCTTTGAGCTTGTTCGCTCCATTCTTTAACCAGGGCTTCGATACTCTTGAAATAGTTTTCGGTGAATTGTTTTTCGCGTTGCAAAACGGTTTCTATGGCTTTGGAGTCGAGTTTGTGGTCGGATTTTAAGAAGTCGGCGTCGTCCAGTTTCACGGTGATGTAGTAGAGGGGCGTTTTCTTGCCGTCGATGACGTCATCGGCTCGGACGTCGGCGATCTGGCCGGGGATCAGGGCGGCGTTGAATGTCAGTTTGTTGTTTGGCGTTTCTGGAAAGGTTATTGGAGTGGTTAAAATTAAAATGGTCAAGTCCAATTTCCTACTATTTTAAGATAATCGTCTTTATCCGTTTATAGAATATTGTTTTTTCCAGTAGAGAAATGAATCAAGTCATACTTCTCGCATTAAGCTGCTATAGCCTGTTCTGTTTATCCAACTTGTTTTATTTTAATTAAGTTCTTTGGTAACATTAAAAAACTTTAACTCTCATTTTCTCCATAATTACATTTTAGGACTTGATTCAGATCACTTCTGAACACCTGAATTATTACTCTGATTTTAATAAGTCAATAAGTAAATTAACAACTTGTGAATTAGGAAGAATATGCAAAAATAACCAGATATATATTTGATACCAATTAAACTTTTAGTTACGTAATCGAGGGTACGATTTTTAAATTTATTGTTGCCAACCATGAACATATTCGGCGCCGGGCTGACTAACTGGAATTTAAATTTCCCGCTGGGGATTCAGGCGGTAATTCAGATGTAAAAAATGCCAAGTTGCCACATTTATTTATTTATTTCCTATCCTATCCTGTACATATTACGAGTTTTTTATTTAAATGAATTTTGTTGGGATACTTTAAGCTTAAAAATGTTTACTAACAGACTTTGCAGTCGAACATATTGTTCTTTTCAGAACCTCTTTTAGTGCAAAGTGTACAAGAGCTTAATATCCGTAAAAAACTCATCGCAAGTTTATTAGAATATTTTTGAACGGGAAAACGGTAGTAATGGCCTTTTATGTCCCTTAGGTGCTGTTAAGAAGGTGAGCTTTGCTGATGTAAGCAATAACTATATATTTTTATTAAATTTATTTTTGTTTCATAAAATATTTTGATTAAAAGAAAACATTTAAAAGTGGGCAACGCTGTGCCGGTCAAGCTTAATCACGTGACTAAAAGTTTATTTGATATGAACTATATGTAAATATGTCTTTATCCAATTAACTTATTTTGATTGCAAAAATACGTAGCAATTCTATGTATTAATAAAATCCTAAATTAATTTTTAGTTGCTATACTTACTTTTGAATCCAACACTGTAAGCTAGGCTGTTGTAGTTCTTCAATTCCAATCGCGCAAGTATAGAGTCGTTGTCGAAAGAAGATACTTCTGATTCTACAATAAGTTCCTTGTCGGTTTTTTCAATGAACTTGTTCAGATATTTAAAGATATTTTTATTAAACAGCTTCAGTAAACCGCTCTGTTCATTTGGCGAAAGTTTGACAGAGTAGACATTTTCGTAGTTTGCTTTTTTGCCGTGATATCTGGCCTTGCAGTCGTACGTGAACAACTGTAATAAAAAGGTAATTATGATTAATAAGAATAATGCTAAATAATCTAAAGACACCTGATATTAAGAATCTATTACGCTGTACTGTTCGGATCGCTCTCAGGAGTTGGATAAAGCTTGATTTTCATGCATCCGTTATACGTTGATACGATGCACTGTGGTTCAAATTAGCCTCGTAGTGCGAATTAAGTCGTTATGTTGAAATTTGTTTTTTTTTGTCCAAAATTTATTATTAGAAAGATAAATACTTATCGGATATACCCTCATCGAAAACAAAAAAGAAAACACTGATAAGACTAGTTTTTGCACCCACGAAATGGAACCTACTCGTCCTTTGCATTTTGAGATTTTTATCGGTCAAAAGTTTTGTATTTGTTCAAACCCGTTTCAACGTTCGATAGCGGGGCAATAAGTTATATTGTGATAAATCATTTATAAGTAAAATATTTGTGATTATGGCTGATGATGGAGGTGAGTTCAATCCTCAGGTGGTAATTAGTTTTTATGGAGCCCCAATTTTTCTATAATATTTTTATATATAAGGGCCGGAAAAAAAGGCACGCTTTGGCACCTCATGTTACCTTTTTCGTTAGATACCCCAGTATGTTAGCTTTAAAATAAAATATGTTTCATTATATCCTTGCGTATCCGCAATAGTTTTTTTTGTTGTTTTAGATCATAAGTCCATATCTAATATGGAAATCTACGAGCACTGGTTGAAATTCAAGCATCTTGGAAGAAAATCATGCTGCAATAATATTGAAAAACGTCTTAAAATAAATAGCAACCGAAAAACTTATGAAAAGGTAATAAAAATTTTGAAAAACTTGGAAAAGCGGTGGAAGGCTAGCCAGTGCACCAAAAGCATTATGTTAAAACATCATCATTTTTTTGGAAACCTGAAGTACGATTGCAAAAATTTAATGTGTTTTGTATTATTTACTTTCCTTTTTGAAATAGAATTGCGTTTTTTTATAGGTAAATTATTGATATTTATAAAATTTGTTTTTTACCCATTTTCAATAATTTATTCTAGTTAATCTATGAATTTAAATTATTTTTTTATTTGTATTGAAATTAATTAGACTGTAAACTTCATTTCACGAGTAATTATTGGTCTTAACAATTATTGATAGAAAAGTCATTTTCCAATAATTATAGGTTATAAAACTCGGCTCTAAATACTTTATATTTATTTTTTATGTCATGACCATTCTTCGTGAGGTACTTATACTGTATAAAACAGTATTATTTTTATGTTATGTCCCTTAGGTTTAGATTAGTTTAGAATGATATTATTTAATTTCTTGTTATTATTTTTCTGTTTATCGTTTTTAAGTAGAAAATTATTAAAAGTTATCTATTTGGTTAATTTTGATAGAATAAAAATCCATTATTTGTTAATTTTAAAAAATACGGTTCTGTTATAATATTTATAATGTTGATTGCTAAAACTTTACTATGGGTTCATTAAATACGAATAGTTACATATTACTATTATCTTGATTGAGATTTTTTTAATAAAAACCAAATTATAGATTTTCAACTACTGACAAATAAGATTTTGGTAGGACATTACTCAATTGTGTGTTTCATTGCGAGCAATATTATTTTTATACTTAATACGGATCTTATACGCGATATCAGTAGTATAACAAAACTTTAAAAGAAAGTCCTTTCAATTGGCATTATTAATAATTAAAATCAGTAATATTTCTCGTAAATTTTTATTCTTAAAGTTTTGTTGAATTTTTAAGGGTTATTTCCACTCCCGCCCTTTCAATTTGACAAATATTGACGAATCTTCAATATACTTATCTAAAGCAAGTCCTATAAGTAATGACGTAAGCCAATTGATTGTTTAAAGACTTTATTCGCGCTACAGACGGCATCTGAACCACAGTGCGATGGTTCGACGGTGCTCTGATTGGTCATAGCGTTTTCGCGCCACTTTTCATCCGTAAATATTTTACTTCAGCCCGTCAACGGACCCGTTCATACGATAACGGACGTTTTGACACTTTTTTGACAAATTTAATTTAACCTTAATAAAAATATAAGTAAAATAGCAAAATCGTTATGGAACCGAAAATATAAAATAACACCAACGTATATCCGATAAACGAACGCATGAAAATGCAATAAATTTAAAAACTGCGTTATTTTCTAACCAATCAAAGTCTTTAAATTCTAATAGCAATAAAATTAATATCGTATCAACGTATCGTCGGACAACGGATGCATGAAAATCAAGCTTAAAGCGGGTGTGTGGCCGAAGGAAATATATATCATATTTCAGAAATATGCCTAAAGCTTGATTTTTTAACATTTAGCTTTATACGACGTCGGACGATTAGTTAAAAATATCGGATAAAAATTGGTGACAAAATATTTCGACCAATAGGAGCACCGTCGGATCATCGTCTCATCGGATTTCGGATGCACGAGACTCCGGCTTAAGGCTTAGCCCGATCCTGTCATGTTAAACCACACCAGAATTCCAAACACACGTGCTTTGATTAAGGCTTGATTAAGGTTTACAGAGCTTCAGCATTTGCCATAAAATAGCGAGTAATTTGTTACAAAACCATATAAATTATATATCACTGTAATCACAAAACTTCTTCAATCTATTTCCGTATTGTAACGAAATTTTAAATTATGTCTTCATTTTCGAGAAAATTTAGTCTAAAGATATGGAATATTTTGTTGATGTTTGACCATCAAAATCTTAAAAATAAAGAAGTTGTCTAAAAATGTGCTACAATACGGATATAGTATAATCCTTTATCTTTAACTTCCTTCTTCATTTGTGTAAAAATATCTAGACAGTTTTACATAAAACGTTAAATGCCGAACGCTTATTTTGCTACTTTTTCGTACTAGTGAAATGGACTCTTAAAGGCAGGTTATTCTCTATAAATAAGACATAGAAAAAATAGACTTACGCGAGCATTTCTGTCTGCAGATATATCTTCGCTGGTGGCGAAGTCGATGCCTAAACCTTTGCTTTGAATGGTGATTGATCGTTTGCTCAAACCCTTCACGTATGATTCATCAATGTTGACTTCCTGAGTGTATGTGGTAACAATCTTTTGGTTGTCTTGAGCGAACACGTCCAATTCTGTAATGAAGTCTAATTTTCCTTTGTAGGGAGTGCCGCTTCTGGTTGTCTTAACAGATGCTGACAGTGGCTAGAAGAAATGAAGGATATTATTTATAACAGTAGCACAGGTATAGCAAGACAAAATTTCAATTAAAGGTTAATTGGACGAGTCAGAGAACATTTCGACAGACAATGTCGTCTGCCAAAATATTTTTTGTCGTACCAGACTAGGCTTCCTATATCGTACCTATTTATATAATTGTATACAAAGAAGCCAAAGCAAGAGTAATGATTTATAAAAGAAACCCAGAGTTCCCAGCTGTCAAAGGATTACGACAGGGAGACGCGATATTCCCAAAGTTGCTTACAGCAACACTAGAAGAAATTTTTCGTCAACTGGACTGGGCCAACAAAGGAGTAAAAATAGATGGGAAATATCTTAACCACCTAAGATTTGTTGATGACATAGTCCTAATTGCCAATAGTCTTGAAGAACTAAAAGCACAAATTAACGAACTAAATACAACCAGCAATAAAGTGGGTCCCAAAAGTAAAGTATAATGTACAACGAACTAGTAAACAGAAAAGACATTCTAATAAATAACACAACATTGGAAATAGTAGAAGAATATGTATTGGGACAACTAATACACAGCTTGGGATCTCTACTACCAGAAATCAATAGAAAAATTAAGTTAGCATGGAGTACTTATGGAAGAATCTCAATCATATTCAAATGTAGAATGCCAATTTATCTAAAGAAGAAAATATTCGACCAATGTAATTTTGGTACGACTGATATTGGAGATGGAGAACTACCCTCTATAAAACCGTCCCAGATACTGGCTTTTGTCAAAGCCCTGGGACTGTATGATGAGTTATGATTCAAGAAAGGGGGACACAATGGATCTGTAAGGTCGAAGTGATTAACCCCCCTCCCACTCATTCTAAAATTCTAAAAATTCTACGGGACGTCGCGCGTCGTTGCAGCCACCCTAAAACGGACATTATAAGGAAACTGCAGGTCGCACAACGCTCAATGGAAGGAAATATGCTAGAAATAACCAAGAAAGATCGTAAAAGAATAGAGTGGATGCGACAAAAGACCAATGTAATAGATGTCATCAACAGAATTAAATCCCCCAGGATACTTGGCAAGAAGGATGGACAACAAATGGATCACATGGAAAAGCATGGTATGACCAATACAGCATGGTACCCACGAGGAATTAAGAGACCTAGATGAAGAGAGATCACAGGAAGAGAGACCATACCTGAGATGGGACTGGGGGAATTAGCAGGAATAATTTGGGCCCGCATAGCCAACAATAGACAACAATTACAAAGAGAGTATCTACGGCTACACCATAATTGGAAATGATCGAATAAGCTAATAATAATGATTATGATTTATGTTTGACATATGACTTACCTTACGTAAACCTGGGTGAGTGAATTTAACATCCCCAGTAACGATTCCTCTGGCGTTAGCATCGAAGCTCCATGTCAAAGCAGTCCTCTTGTTAGCGTGATTCTTTTTATCCAGATAGAACCCGATATCTCCGTTTCCTTTGGCATATTCTCCGCTCTTCTGGTCCAGATGAGATTTACCTTCGAGAGCAATTATTCTTTTGGGTGTGGTCAATGATAATCCAGCTTCCTGGGGATGAATATAGAAACTGTACTGGTATTTGCTGTTTTCTTGGTTCTGGAAATGGGCATCGACGGTGTGATCTATCAGCCATTGTTTCTTCGAAGTTACAGCCTTTAATCCAAATTCGTGAGAGAGACCTAACTTGCGCAGATCCAGGTTTACTTCAAGGACTTGGTTGAAGTTGTTAATATCTAAAAAATTCAAATTAGGAAATTATTATTATAGTCAAATTTATAATTTCTTTGAAAGTGGCGTGGTAAAAACCTTGTATAGAAACACCTTGTATAGGCTCGGTAGTTTTAGAATTTTTATTAGTTCACACTAGATGAAGACAGTAGAAGTCCAAAATGTCTTTAATTTCAAATTAATAGTTATTGTAATTTACCGTTAGAAGTGATTTTGTTGTCGATCTCCACATAAGTACACTCTTTCTTCTGTTCGCACACAGAAGTTTGGAACCTGAAATGTTTATCGGTCAATTTGAATTCAGCATCAATAGCCTTGCTGCCCAAAACTGCATCCAACGACTCCTGTGTTCCTTGTTCTCCGTTCTTTGCGGTTTCCAGTTTCTGGGAAATGTATTTGAAGTTGCCAGATTTGGTTTCTTCGTGGACCTTGAACGACCCAGAGCCTTCTACGATTACTTTACCGTTTTCTTCTTTGGACGAGTAGCTTGTTGAGCCGGAAATGATGTTCTTTCCGTCTGATTTTACCAGGATTTGGATTTTGCGGTCGTTGTTTCCAGGTTTGTTCTGTGCTTCAAAAACGATTTTGTTCCATTTTAGACTGGGGGAGTTTATTTTTCCTTTGATAACGAAATTGTCTATTGTTTCGATATTGACGTTCAAGGAACCGTCCAGGTGGAATTGTCTTGGTTCACTTATAATTTTCACTTCACCTGTAACAAAATAAAATACAATTATGGATGTTTTGAGTAACTAAACCAAGTTTCAACTCAGTTGTTTTTATCATCTGCGGATGATACAAACAGGATTAAAATGTCACTTTTTAAGAGCGACCAACTATAGTTAAAATAGTTGGCAATACTACGTTAGAGAATTTGTGATTGGTACTGATGCTAGTAAATTACCGGAAGATTGGCTTAAATAAACCTTTATTGTCATTCTAAGATTGTATATGGGACCGAAAGAAGAAGAAGAACTGATTCTAAAACTTTTATCGATCAAAAAATTTTAACAAATATCAATTCACTGACTTCAATTTTTTGGAGTTTTCTTTATATTCTGGAAAATTTCCACTTTGTTATTTGTGTAATCTACGTATTTTTTAATGTAAAAAAATACTATTTTTCAATTGAACTATAGTATTCGACTTGAAAAAGGAATACTTACAATATCATGGCTTATTTTAATCCCTGCGTTCGAAACAACGTTAGAAATTGAACGTAATCAATGAAGTAACTACTTTTAATAAAAACAGAATCTCAATTTGGAGCATTATTTAATTATAGTATTTATTAAATATCAGAAACGTATAGTTGGACGATTTCAAAATAATGTTAACCAGGAAGTAACAAACGAAGATGAAACAATATGATAACCCATAAAAAGGTACATTTTGCCTTTTAAATTTAAATATGTAGAACTTCATACTACTAAGTTCAAATGTTTTTATTGTATATCTATTAATATGCATTTTATTATCGAAATTTATTACGAGAACGTAACCTAACCAATATTTTTAATACCCTTATTCAATAATTAAATTAGAAAACCTCAGATCCATTTTTTCTCATCTAGTTTTGATTGGTCTCACATTATTTTGTAAAGCAAATTTAAAAATCGTCAAAAAATTAATCGTTTTATTTAATTTTTGGTTAGTTTTGACGCTCTTGGTCGATAAACAAAAACAGTAGATAAACATTCCAGTCCACAGTAAATTTATTACCAACCAAACTAGCAAAATCAGAATAGCCAACTAGTTCAATCACTGTTAATCGCTCTGTATATGACAATCATGATAATCAATATTAAGAAGTTTTATATTAATTTGAATACATACCTCCATATTGTCTGTCATTAACTTTGTTTCCTTTCAGATAAGCTTGGCTGATTTTTCCTTCCGGATTGGTGTACTTAATATCAATGACAGGTGACAGATCGCTCAGAGCCAGATCGGACTCCAACTTGTAAACCTTTCCTTCAACAGTAACTTTAGTCAGACCTTGGAATTCCCTGTTATCTTTGGTACGTTTTGAGTCAATCAACAGATTAACGCTTTTGTATCCTTCAACTGGTGTATGTAAATCTGCAGCCAACTTAATATGAAGCTCAGAAACTCTTTCAAATGATCCGTCCAATTTTATACTCTTTCCATTAGCGTAGTTAACAAGTAAATGTCCGCTTTCTTTGCTTTTTTCGATATTATAACTGGCATCGAAGTTAATAGGGTCGACATTATGTAAAACCACATTTCCTTTTACTTCTCCATCTTTAATTCCTGCTCTGAGACTTCCCTGAGATTTGAAATCGATGATAGGTTCAGGCTGAGTTCCGTCATCGTCAGCGAAGATATTGACAGAACCTTCGAGTTGGATAGGTTGGTCGATACCTCTAGGACGAACAACTGATCCTTTAAGATCGAGGTTTAGGGTTTTTAGTGCTTTGTAAGTCGATGAAGCTTGTAAATTAAATGCTCCAGATGCCTTATCTTCATTTTTGATGTCGTAGTTTCCTTTAATGTTGACACTGTCACCTGGACCATGAGTGCTAACTAATTCGTACTGCCCAATTTCAGCGTTACCTTGAAGAGTTATTGAGGCTTCGTGAGGGTTTTTCAAGGCACTGCCATAAAGCTTAGCCCTTCCAGAAATCTGGTTGTTGTTTCCTTGAACTGATCGTTTCAATGCGATATCGTAGTTGATATTTTGACCGTTACTATCGTCAGCAGAGAACGTGTAGTCGATGTCAAAGATTTTATCCTCGAAACTCGTGTCCTTCCATACTCCCTTGAATGTCAGTTTCTTGCCAGCTGCGTTTTTATTTTTCCTGTACTCGATGCTACCCTGGCTCTGTCCACTTTCTAAGTTGTTGATGTGTTTGTGATCACAGGCTGCTTTAATGGCGATGTATTGGTCGTTGAGTAGAGTTATTTCGACGTCACTGTCGAGCTTGCCATTTTTACTGTCTCCAGTTTTGGATACTTTGAGGTTAAGTTCTACAGGATTTCCTAAGATATCTACTTTATTACTAGATTCTAGACTAGTGTCGGAGTATTTGTTGTTAGTGCTGAGGAACACTTTAAGGTTTTTGTCCTTATTGAAAGAGGGATAGAGTGTGAAAGTGAAGTCAAGAACTTTTAAAGGTACTATATGGAAAGAGGTTTCTCCTTTGATCTGTCTTTGACCACCTGGGATATCGACTAAAACTTCCCCATTACCTGAACCTTTATTTGAGTGGATTTTACCGTCGATGTTTATTATATTTTTGATGTTAACTTTGAGGCTTCCGTTAGCGTCTAAACCTGGGTTGGCTTTGAGGAAAGCATCAACAATTACTTCGTTTCCTGAGCTGATTTTTTGGAAACCGTCGAATTCCTCTTTGTTGATCTTTAATCCGCTGCTGACTTTGAAAGGAGCTGCTTGTGTTGGGAGGTTTACTGAGAGATCAGCACCAACATCGATGCTATGTGGACGGATAGAATGACGTACTTTACCGTCAATTTCCAGTTTTTTACCGTTCACTTCTATGGTGTTTTTGATTTTACTCTCGTCGTTCGGCAAGACCTGCCTGCTTGATTTTAATTCAACCTTGTTCTCCAGTCCCCACAGATCGAATTCTAAATCGTAATCTCCTTCTGATTTCTGGTTGGTCTTTAATTCGAGTTCTGAACCGAATTTCACTTCTCCATATTCGGCGCTAACTTCGTATTCCAGAGTTTTTGGTGTTTTTTCCAACTCCAATTTAGCACCAACTCCCAAAAGCGGGTAGTTGACGCTGTTCTTGAATACCAGTTTGTAGTCTTGGGCGTTTACGTAGTGGTTGACGAAGCTGTTTTTGAGAGTTAGAACTGAGGTTTTTGAGTTTAGATCGGGACCGTGTACTAAACTGAGAGAGCTCTCGTAGAGTTTGGGTTGTTTTTTGAATTCTCCTTTGAGGTTGAAGTTGGCTTTGCTGTTGATGGTGTTGAGGACTTTCGCGTTGAAGTTGATCAATTCTGAGGTGGCTTGGAATCGACCTAAAAAATTAGATATAAATTAATTTTTTGTATTACGATCATTTAAGGTACTATATTAAATCAAAAGGTTTAACATATTGTCAGTACTTAGAGAGTAATTATATACCATACGACCGAAAAAAATGGCGTCAAAGACAGCTGGGATATGATAATCGGTGATAATTTTGGCGAGGTCGTGCCCTAGGCTTGACCCGTACTCTTCTTTATTTTGAATGGCTATTACTACCAGTTGACCTTAAGAAGGTTATAATTTATTTTTATATTGGACAAGCATTATTTTTAAACGGTGTAGTTTAAAATTTGAGAAAATATAATTTTTTGGAAATAGATTTGTGTGTTTAGAAACGTTCTATCCTTTTTTAAGCCTTCAATAATTGGTAAATAGTAAAGTTCTTAAACATAACATTATTTAGTAACTTACCAACTAGATTAACAGATTCCTTTCCATCTGACAGTTTAATATCGCTGTCAATAACACCACCCTCATTTCCAACATGACCAGTGATACTGAACTGCTTGTTTTCATAGAGGAACTTCACGTTGTCAAACACATATTTTACATTGTTTCCATTAGATTCTACAATAATCTGACCCTGTACTTGCACAGGCAACACTTGCTGACCTCCTGGTGTCTTCAATTCGATTAGTGGCTTATAAACTGTACGCTGAGGCGAGCCTGAGATAGCTATCCCCAATTTAGCCGAGTATACGTCTTGATCGTTGTTTACTTTGGCTAAGAGAGATCTTTCTACGTTGGTGTGAATGTATCTTAGCTCAGCACCTGCGTTCTTTCCAGCTGATGACAAACTAAGTTTGATGAATTTTTCGGGAGAGTATTCTCCTTGAAGGTCCAAAGTGGCCTTAACTGCTTTGTTCTTGCCGATTGTCTGTAGTACTAACTCAGCGTGAGTTGGAGGATTGCCTTGAACCGAGTGCTTGATGAGGAATTCAGAAACATCGTCGTTTTCGATAGTTAGTGCGAGTTTAGCGTCTCCAGCAAGTGGGTAGGGTAGAATAGGAACTTGTTTTCCACCTACATTAGGCCCATTAACTTCAGCACAGAAAGTTAGGCCGATGAATGGACTAAATTGGTCCAGACAAACCGAGAAATCTTTCACTTGGGTGAATTTAAGAGGGAGATTCTTTTCTTTGCCAGCTTGTTCTCTTGTATGGAACACAATTTCGTGATTAGCAGATACAATCTTCTGTTCTTGTACCGGTAGGCCAAATTTAAATTCAAATCCGGAGCTTTTGTCCCAGGATAAGCTGGCATCACCTCCAGTGGCTGTGTATAAGTTTGAAACAACTTTGAGACCGTTTTCTACCACCAAGGCGTCAAGGGTTAAGCGTCCAGAAATCTCGATGTTGGCGCTGGGGATGAGTTTTAGGGATAGTTGTCCGTTGTCTGGGTTATTAAGGATTTTGCGCACGTCGATTGCTCCTTGGACTTGGGCTTGGAGTGAGGCTGAACCTTCAACGGCTAGACGTAGCGGGAAACCGAGTGAAGTTGGATAGTCGATTTGGGCGTCTAGGAAGAGTAAATTGCGACGAAGAGTTTCCTGAAATAAAATTGTGATATTAGAATGTGTCTTTCTAGAAAATAGCTGCATTATATTTAGTTCATCGATGTGATGATATAATTGCCCTCAGGTACTGTAATTCACACACAGGGTGATCTATAGTTTGTATTGAAATGACGATCCATTCCCCTTTTTCGATCATTACATGACGCTAGATCGTGTGTCGCGGCCTTGAATTTTGTTCACTTCAAAAATGACTTATCGTCCAGTGTGTGAGGATGTGGTATACAGGGTGTCCCAGACTGAGCATGCATTGGAGGTTTCTAAAGAATTACAATATCTATGTATATCGGCGATTTTTTGCACATCATTGTTTCAAAATGAGATCTATCGATTAAAAATATTTTCAATATGGCAGCACTTCCAGAGATACCGGAAGTTTCTTATTTTACAACAACTTTCTTATTTTAAATATGTACCCCCATTTTTCATTGTGTATTTAAATTTTCTATAAAATTTTATGAATTTTGATATCAAGCACTCTATACCTAGCATTAACCATTTTTGAGAAAAAAAATATTTAAAAATTTGGAGGAAAAAGACTGCCTGTCAAAAAAAATTGTATAGCCTAAATGTCAAATTTAGCGATTACCACAGCCACTGTGGCATAAAGAGAAGACATGTGGCTATCTATTTCAAAAATTAAATTATTGGAATGTCATATAATATTGGCCGTAGCTATCACGGAATTGCGTGATTACAAAACATTATCATAAATCATTTTTTTTCATATGGAAATCCACTTTTTTATTTCGCTAATGAAAAGGTTTTTCAATTCATTAAATTTTGATGTTCCTATACTTCAAATAAATCGTTTGAGTTTATCATTTAGTTTTAAAGCGTATTTTTTTTCTTGATTTTATCTAGCTTTCTTTGACATTAAGTGTCAAACCATCACACAATTTATTTCCTTCTGTCAAAAAACTAATTATTTGAATTTCGTATATTATAAATACTGTATCTAATCTCGTATTTTAGTGATAGCTAATAGCAATATGACATGGCCAGATATAGTTTCACATCGCGTGACATTTAAAGTCATAAGCTACTGGTTGAAAAACAAAAAAATATACCCTTTAAAACTAAAACTTAAATAACTTAAAAACGATTAATTTTAGGTGTAGGAACATGTATAATCAAAAAGTAACGAATTAAAAAACATTTTCACTAGTGAAATAAAAAAGTGGGTTTCAATTTGAAAAAACATATTTATGATATTTTTTTAATCGCCCAATTCCATGACGGTTACAGCCAATATTATATGACATTCGTACAATTTAATTTTTGAAATAGATAGCCACATGTCTTCTCGTTATGCTAGAATGGCTGTGGTAATCACTAAATTTCTCGTTTAGGCTATACAGATTTTTTCCTCCAAAAATTTTAAATATTAGATATTTTGTTTGATTTTAGATATAGTGTTTGATATCAAAATTCATATAATTTTAGAGAGAGAATTTAAGTATATATTATAAAATGGGGATACCCCTTTAAAATAAGAAAGTTGCTGTCAACTTCCGGTATTTCCGGAAGTGCCGCCATATTGAAAATATTTTTAATCGATAGATCATCTCGTTGTGAAACACTGCAAATAATTTCCGATCTATGTAGATATTGTAGTTCTCTAGAATCTTCTAATGCACGCTCAGCCTGGGACACCTTGTATATGAATGGAAGAAACATAGAGCACTGTGATAGTGATAATTGATCAGAATATAGGGGTAAAAATTTAGTGTTGTATGTATTTTTAATGCCGCATCACAAAAAATAAAAATAAAAATTTTTGTCCAAAAAGTAAAAAAAAAACTTGGTAAAAAAACTGAGGTGAACCATCCTTATTACTTAGCAGTATAAAAAATAGATAACAACCTATTCTCAGAACTACTGAATATACCGTATGATCGAAAAAACGGCGTCCAGTTGGCTGGGAAATGACGATCGATGACATTTCCAATATAAATTTACATATAAAATGACAGCGATTTTCATTTCATAGCCATCGCTTTTTTTCGATCATACGGTACATCTAAAATTTCATCAAAACCGGCCGTTTCGGAGGAGTATGGTAACAAAAACAGTGATACGAAAATGTTATACAGTATGTTCCCGGATTGTCTTTACAAGAGGAAAAACTTTTTTTATTATTGACATTTTGAGAAAAATACATTCTTCATAAAAATTTTTGCTTATTCTAATATGGTTAATCTCGTTTATATACTTTTCGAAATCTCCATAAGTTCTAAAAATCCAAAGGCGTTTCTATGGTAATGTCAATTCGATTTTATTCTTTGATAGATGGTTATTATTAATTTTGATTAACGTCATAATATTCTTTGCTGTTGTTAAAGTATCACATTTTCCGATAACTGTCATCACCCTTTCCGTAGCAGTAAACTAAATAAATTTTGTGCCTTCTTTAAGATTCTAAAACTACAAAAAATATGACGTTAATTAAAATTATATCAATAACAATCTATCAAAGAATAAAAACAAAGTTATATTACCATAGAAACGTAATTTTCTCTGAAAGGGTATTAAAATTTGGAAAAGTATAAACTGGATTAACCATTTTAGAACAAGCCAAAATTTTTATGAAGGATGCATTTTTCTCAAAATGTCAATAATAAAAAAGTTTTTCGTCTTATTGTAAAGAGAATCCCGGGGACATATTGCATATTAGATAAAGATCTACTGATGCTAAATCGTAAAACTTAGCTTATTAATGAATATTAATTTGAATCTATCAAAATAACCTCAATTGATCTTAATTAAGTGTGAAATTATTTTTATAGAAAATATGTAATCAGATTTTGGTAATTGTATTTTAAATTTTAACTTACATGGAAGTTGACTAATTTATCCAATCCTTGACTCAACTGGGACACTATCCTATCAACGATCGCTTCGGGAGTTAAAGATGCAGTTTCCTGGTTAACATTCACAAAGAACAGTTCAGATCCGAAAGCCCTAATAGTTAAATCCAAATCCAAGTCCTTGTTAAGCTCGTTAGTCTTAACCTGAACCTGTTTAGCGATAGCATCGATTTCTGCTTTGGTTACATCACGCTTAGCCCTGTGCAGTTCAGACTTCAACTTGTTCTGAACGTATTCAGTTAATTTTCCGTATCCTGTTACAGCTTTAGTTACGAATTCCTTTCCAGGAGTACTCCTAACCAGACCATTAGGTCCCAAGTAGTGTTCTACCAAGCGATCCAAGTTTTCCTGTCTGGTTTCGAGCTCGAGGAAGTTGAAGTTATGCCCGAAAACTTCAGCGGTCAAGTTGAGGCTGGTGGACCTGGGCAACCAGGAGTTCTGGGAGTAGATGAGGTTGGCTTCGGTGGATGTGGCAACGCCGAGGGTGTCGATGGCGTAGGAGAATTCGCTGTTGAAGGAGTACCTGCGCGGGTCGAAGGTGAATTGCTTCTTGGGGACGAAGTTGAGGAACTGCTTGGCTAGGGCCTTGTCTGAATTGGTGGAGGTGCGGATGGTACGTAAATGAGATGTTATGAAACCGCCAACTTGGATGCTTGGTTCTTTTTCGATCAGAGCCTTAATAGCGTTTCCTAAATTTAAAAAAAAATAAAATAAAAACTAAATAACCTAATATATCGACATTAGCACATTTGGCACCACAGTCAATCTCGACACATTGACAATATGAGATTGATATATTGACAACCGAGACTATGAAGTAATTGTCGACAATATCGACATTGAAAATGTCACAAGCGCATGCTTAAAGTTAGGTTTGTCATTAGAAAAGGAGTAATTATTAATATACAGGGTGGTACGAACTGTATTCCGGGAACTTCGTCAGTATATTCTGCAGATGAAAAAAGTAAAAAAGTTTGTATAAATGTATGTTCTAAAATGCTTAGGAACTTTTTATTTTTTTAAATTAATCATAAGTTTTTTTTTTCGAAAAATGTGTCAATGAAGACAGGTATTGATAATTTTGATTCCAAATATCTCGAGAACCATTACTCGTAGCGACTTTTACCACGAGACCTTTGTTACTTAAAAAACTTCGTAAATGTATATTTTTTACTCAGTAGTTTTATACAGGTACGGACGAAAAGTTATAACACTTCAAACCAGTTAAAAAATATGTAGGTCTACAAGTAGGATCATACTGACATCAATATCAAATTCCTCATGTCAAAAAACTCAACACTAGCTTTTTTTGTTTTCCTGTTACCGATTCTGAACCGTCCTAGAATTGTGATGCGTATGCGCAAAAGGAAATATGAAGACAATATTTCATTTGCGCATGCGCTGGAGAATTCTAGGACGATTCAAAATCGATAATAACAGGAAAACGAACAGACCTACTAGTATTCCGCTGCAAAACCAGGCGAACCAGACCGGTAAACTACGGTAAAGAGCGGTTCCTGAAAAACAACTTGTGTCTAGCCCTAGCAGGCAACTATTAAGCCCGACCAATCACGTTAGAGTTATTGACAAACACAAATGAATTAACACCCTCAAATAACCACGCTAACCAACCTGATTGGTCAAGCTTAATAGTTGACTGCTAGGGCTAGACACTTCTGAAAAACATGGGTTTTGATACGGAATGGTTTGGTAAAATACTGGAAACGTCAAATGTTGACGTTTTCTAAATTTCAATACCTCTATTATAAAATTTATCTTTTATGCATTTTTAATGTACCTATTGCCTTTTTTACGTTTGCTTCTTCTTTTCAGTGGAGTTTAATATTGAAAAGTACTTAATTGAAAAGTATTAATAAACTGTTACACTCGTTAGGCAGCTCAAGTGAAGATTTGCAGATCCAATATTAAAACAGATCAATAATAAATAAACAAATCTAATCAATATTTATATTTTTATAGCTTACAAAACATTGATGATTACTTGTTGTCTTGTTTTTCATAAAACAATGGCTGCATGATAAGTTTAAATGGTCCTAAAAAGTAATTCTGTTTAGTTAATGAAATTTATTTACCTTTACTGTCTACTTCCATTACTTTTGGATGTAAATACAAAATATTATTACAAATTTTAGAAATTAAATGAGAATTTCACTCGAACTTCCAATATTTGCTTGATTTCTGTCATATAAATGACTGATTGACAAACAATACCAGAAAAACCAGCCTTGTCGCGCTGGTTAGTTTGGTGACAGTTGGGTGACAGCAGAATAACCGAATTTTTCAGGAACCATGTTCCATAATAAGAAAACTTTCAGGCAACTGATAGAAACGGAACATAAAACCATAACCAAGGTAAGCAACGGAATACATCCTAATTTTCACCCAAATATTTGACGTTACTCCATAAATTATTTGGAAATTCTACACCCCGTATCTCCGAAACTAAGCATTTTAGGACATACATTTATACAAACTTTTTATTTATCTGCAGAATATGCCGGCGAAGTTTCCGGGATACAACTCGGACCACTTATAAAATATTAAAAATATTTACCTGCTTTGGCATTAGGGCACTGAGCTACCACCAAGTAAGCCTTAATCCTAATTTCGGTATCTTGTTGAATATCTTGCAATATTTGTAGAGCGCTATCACGAAGTTTATTCTTGCATGGATCAGCTAAATAAGCTTCTAGAGCAACTACTCTCACCCTAAAAAAAAGTTTATTAAAAAATAATCTCGCTCATTTAAAATAACGCTTATGTACCTGTTTGGTAAGTTTTTATTTTGGGCAATTCCTGTGAGTTTTTGAAGGGTGTTGTCGTTCAAAAATCCAACGTTTCCAAGAGCTTTCAGAGCATAGATAATGTCGTTTTCTTGTTCTCTGTTGGTGGCTTTGTTTGAAATTTTGGTTAACAGTTTGCTCAGTAGAGCTTTAACAGCTGCGTTGTTTTCGCAGGAATGTTGACGGCAGAAATGACCAGCGAGGTTGCCTACTCCAAGGTAAGCTTCGCGGGGAAGGTTGGCGTTGTCCAGTAAATGCTAAAATGTTTACATATAATATAGAATCAGTAAGTTATTTTTTAGGAAATAGCTAGTGCCACTTCAATAAACATTACAAGTCAAAATATTTTTTCTTGCTTTTCATTTCAATATTGTTATTTTTTACTTTATATGAAACTTCTAACGCCTTAAACATTAGGACTATATGAACAATATTCCTCTGCCACAAAATATTTTTTTAAGTCCCTAGTAATACACTGAAATATGTTAGCTTATGTATGAGGGACAAAAAGGCAATGGAAAGACAGATTAAATGATCAAACAAGGCTCATCAATGATATTTGTAAGTCCAGAAACTTTCTGCGGTGCTGCAAAACTAATTATAAAAATGGCCACTAAAGTGTGGGTGGACAACAAAGCTCTAGTTTGTTGGAAATATTCAACAAGTGAAACAACTCTTAGGAGAACATTCGCCTACATTTATGGCAGACCTGATAAGCTAAAACAAAAAGAAACTGTATTGACCATCACGGTCTTTTTGCCGAGGAGCAAGGGGAAAGACACGACCTACCTGCTGAGCCTTATCCAGGGTCAGAACTTCAATGTAAGGACATCGAGTTGGCGAGTCATCAACTCGAGGGAGGAGGGTCATGGTCAGGTCCTCACAATAGGAATTGACCTCAAATCCAAGGAGGCAATAGAGAAAGAGGGACATATCCTCTATTATAGATACGGGACAACACCCGGTATCAGGTCTAAGGAGAGACCAAGTTAAAGAGGTGGAGAAAATGGAGACAGATCCTCCAGCCTACAGCAGGTACCTACGGAGCCGGAGGTAAGCTCTTCAACTGTGAAGGGCACGGAGGGCCCAACTCCAACCATGGAAGGGTGTGTACCCTCGGAAAAAGAACATCTGTTGTCAGAGGAGGATGATGTCATGGGAAATACCCTGTCCCCTCTACAACAGAGGTATGATGGGTTATAGACTGTGTGATGACTCAAGGAAGGGAGGCACAATAGGTCTTTAACGTGGCAGTGATTAACCCCCCCCCCCCCTTTAACTCATTCTACATTCTACAACTGTAGTGAGCCTACTAACAGGAAATTAAAAACTAAATAGACATCTAAAGATAACAAAAATTGACAGAGAAAGCCGTGTGAGGATTATGTCAATAAGACGAAGAAACGGCAAAATTGTCAGTCAGTGCGATTATGGAAAATATGTCTTTATGTACGAGACAATGATAAGTTACTGGCATAAGTCTGCGGAGGTTCAGTTTCCCAATGATTTGGTTTTTTGACAAGAAAAGGACTGTGGTGGTCGCAGTGGAATAGACTAGTGGAATAGCGCCCTACAATAAGCACCTCATAAGTCGGAGTTATCAAGTCACAATGCGCGAGGGAAAACAACCCGAAGAGTTTATTCAGCCCAAAGGTATCTTCGAATAGAATTTAATTATTCTATGTTATAGAGTCTGTTCATTTCCACAAAGTGGTGGCTCATTATAAAACTTAATGTGATAAACAAATATCAATGCTAAACCACCATCAAAAATATTTATTTTTGACCGGTTCAGATAAGATAAACTACCTGACAGCCATCATCAGACCTTCGACAAAAAATCGCTGTTCCTTTGACTTTATATTAATATAGAATAATTGCAATTTAAATTATTCTTGCTGTCAAATATATCAAACTAAGGAAATGGAGGTAAATTGATCACATATTAAGGCGAAGCGGAAACAACATCGCTGACAGAGCTATTGAGTGGAACCCACAAGATAGTAGAAGAACTGGTCGTCCAAAAAACACATGGCAAAGAACAATTATTAAGGATATCGAAGCAGTAAACCGATCAAGGCAAGATGTCAAATTAATTGCAAACAACCGAACCCGCTGGAGAGCGCACTATGCTCAACGTAAAAGTAGGACAAAATTAATGAAAGATAATATCCAACGTGTAACAAATATTCCTTGCTTCTTAGAAACAGTTCTAGTGGAAGACCTTTATGTATAGTAAAAATGAAGACTCTGCTTGATTATAAAACTTTTTGATCATAATATGGTACTTCTAAATAAATGCAAGTACTTACAGCTGCAGATGATAATGCTCCTTCAGTTGCATGGCGTACGACATTGAGACCGAGTAAGGCTAGTTTTGAGTCGGACTCGCTGAGTTCGTTCTTGATTATGAGCTCAAGAAGAGCTTCGACACTTTCTCCATTGCCTGATCTTAACAACGAATCGATGTATACTCTCTTGGCAGCATCCTTATCACCTACACCTAAAACAATATAACGCTTTTTTAAGAAATAACATACAAAAAAAACGTACAGGAAATAAGAAAAACATTTTATTAACATTAAAAGAGCATCGTTAATATAGACGACTTACAACCGCCCAATCCAAAAAATTTGGTACTTTTTTTAACTTTTGTATAAAGCGGTACGGTTTAGACTGCTCTCCTTTGAATACAACATAGAAGGAACGCTAAGTACTTACCAACTCCACTTTTGATTTGATTATAGGCGGCTAACAAATCGGCTTTCTTGCTAACTCTGACAATTTTAAGTAAGTTGACGAATTCCTTTGCCGTTGACTCGCTAACAACCAGTTCGATGGTCTTGGCTACTTCTTTAACTGCGTTGACGATGGTTTGTACGCTACTGGATGAGGCAACAATGGGATGGGGGTTTTCAAAGATGATTGATCTAGAAAAACAATTTACAAACATTGTGATATGTATAGCTAATGTAATACGTTCTCTTTTAGAAATACGTTCTAGATATCTTACTTTGGTTTGCTGACTGGAGCCTCTACAGCATCTTTTCCAGTGCCAGTGTACTGCAGTTTACTGGTTACTTGGGCTTTAGCTCCATTCTGACCAACAGAGAAAGGAATGAAAATGTAATTTTCGGTTACAGTGGCCTGGTCCAATACACCATTTTTCAATTTGATCACAGCACGATAATCTCCGTTTAACAGAGGACTAGATTTGATTTCGCTGTCCAAGTTGAAAGCGGTGGCCAAAAATGCTTGTTGGATGTTTTCTCTACAGAAAAAGGTTGAATTAATTCAAAAATCATTATTGCAAAAAGTAAAGAACACTAAATTATAGTACTATCGATATCAAATAAACTTTTAATTACGTCATCGAGAGCGCGGTTATTAAATTCATTGTTGCCAACCATGGGCATATTCGGCGACGGGCTGACTAACTGGAATTTAAATTGTCCACTGGCAATTCAGGTAGTAGCTCTACTGCAAAAAATGTCAAGTTGCCATATTTATCTACTGATATTTAGATTTTTTTTGATCAGAATTTAGTTTTGACAATTTAAGATTTTTTACTAGCAGACCTTGTAGTCGAAAATTTTCTTGTAGTCGCCTTTTTAGAACAGCTTATTTTTTCTTCTTTCCAGCGAAGTGTACAAGATGCTGCAACAGCTTATTAGCCGTTGCAAAAAACTTTTTTGCATCCTGATTAGAATATTTCGAACGAGAACACGATAATAATGGCTCTTTATGTAGGTACCTTGAGTTCAGTTAGTGAGGTGAGTTTCGTTGATGTAAATAATACATGTTTACGTAATTAATTTTTGTTTCCTAAAATATTTTGTGATGACTTCAGGCTTATTAGTCTGATGAGCCATATGTTAAAAATACTTTTAAATCAACAGAATATGCTAAATGTGAACAAAACATCGGATAAAAGCAGTTTGGGTTTCGTAGCGGACTAGGCACAAGAGAAGCCCTGTTTTGCATGAGACTATTGTTACAGAAGTACTGCAAATTTTGCAAGAACATCTATGTGTGCTTCATAGACATTGAAAATGTGACAATCGAGTCAAACATACAGAGCTTTTTTGGCATCTGTAATTGTATAACGTGGACAGCTATGACATGCGCCTTTTGGTAAACTATACTACAATGAAACTGCTGCTGTTACACTAGATGAAGAAACTAGAAATGCCATTCCAATAAAACGAGGAATAAGACAGAGGTGTGTTCTGTCACCGTTATTATTCAACTCGTATTGAGAGAACATTTTTCATGAGGCTTTATCCAGCAGGACAGAAGGCATTAAAATTGGAGGCGAGATCACAAATAACGTAAGGTACACAGACGACACCGCCATTGTCGCAAAAAGAATGGCAGACTTGTAAATGCTGCTTGACAGAGTACATGAAGCTAGTTGCAATTGGTGTATTAATATAAATTTCAAGAAGATGAAATAGATGTGTACAATACAAATAAATCCAATCCCGATCAAAATCAGCGACCACAATATTGAACGAAGAATTAAGTACCACATTTTAGATATTTAGGAAGCTGACTGAATAGTGAAAATACCTGTGACGAAGAGGTAAAGGCAAGAATTGAAATGGCACGTAGAACATTTAACAAATGGAATACCACGCTCACTAATAGAAACCTTTCAGTGCAAACCCGATTGCGGACACTACGTTTTTATTATTATATACATATAGTCCACTCTTCTTTACAGCTGCAAGACATGGACGCGAAATGTCGAAAATATAAATAAAATAGAAGCCTTTGAAATGTGGTGTTCTCGTACCGAACATACAAGCAAACGAAGAAGTTCTGGAACAGCTAAATAAAGATCGGAAACTCTTAACCGCCATCAAGGCCAGAAAGATTACCTACTTCATAATACACACATACTGCGCGGCATCAAATATTATGCTCCTCGTTTGATCACTCAAGGAAAAGTCGAAGGTAGAAGATGGATAGGTCGAGAAAAACTGTCATGGCTGAGAAACATAAGGAACTGGACCAGTCTGGAGGTGGAGACGCTGTTTCATGCGGCAATAAAGAACTCTTCAACGAAACAGTCATGGAGATCGCCAATGCCTGAAGACAGGCTCGACACCACAAGAAAAAGAAACATTTTGATTAAAGGAAAATATGTAAAAAACGCTGTGACTTGGAGTTTGACTTGACACGTGACTAAAAGTTTATTTGGTATGGTCTATAGAAGGAATTTTTTGTTTTAATTAAATCAGATTCTTTAATTTGCAGCCTTAGAATGACTATTTGATAACCCTTTTTTATAAGAGTAGCTAAAAAGGATACAGATAGTATCCTTTTTATTATAAAGAGACGAAAATGGCTTTACCTGTATGCACACTTGTTCAGGCTTCTAGCTTTTTGGATAACCAACAAGTTTCCCTCTTTGTGCGATGACAGTTCAGTTGGACATCTGCCAAAGACGTCAGTTTCGTAGCCGGATTTTAGGGAGGCTTGGAAAATGGAAGCTATGGCTCTCTTGATGTTGATAGAGTTCTGGTTGTCACCGTCCACTACGCAGATGCTGTCTGACAGTTCGCCGTCGTTGAAATTGAGTCTGATTGGCTTTTCTATGTCGGCGATTGAACCGACTTTCTGTCAAATAAGAGTATAGTAGTATTAGAAATTATAGTGACAGACAAATAGGTACCATACGATTGAAAAAAAAAGTCATTAAAGACTGCTGGCAAATGAGAATAGATGTTAATTTTGACGAGGTCAAGCCCTAGACGTTATTTACTCTTCTTTGTTCTTTAATGGCGCTTACTGCCAGTTGGCCTTAAGAAGGTTGTAATTTATTTTTATATTGGGAAAAATGATATTTTAAATGGTTTAGTTTAAAATTCCAGAAAATCAATTTTTAGTTAATAACATCTAGAGATTGACCTCGCCAAATTATCATCGATTGTCATTCCGCAGCCGTCTTTGGCGCTTTTTTTATCATATGGGAGGTATATTGAAATTTAAAATATACGAAAATATTGTGTCGGTTTATGGTGTCTTAGAAAGAACTAAAAAAAACTCTTAAAAGAATTAAAAATTAGTTATATGATTTCTCAAAGCCTTCCTTGGTACGCCCTTGTAATTGATTATTTATTCTTTATTAATCTAAGTTTCAAGCATTTCAAATGCATCAGTGTAATACTCGGTGTAATATCTCTTTAAATCGAGTTACCTTGCCATCGGATCCCAAGATCTGGACGTTGTGCAGCCTCAGAATTTGATTGCACTCATCCTGTTGTGTTAGCAGTACTTCGGCCTTGACTTCCGTGCCCGTCGATTGTCCTTCCGCAGAAGACAGCGAAATTTCTATTTTTCCATCGTAGTTGTACTTGTACGTCGTACCAGCGGCGTACTTAAACGTTTTTCCAGCTTAAAAATAGAGAAAAAACTTCTATGTAATATTCTTATTTTTAATTTTGATTTTTTTATACTTACCACCTTTGCATTCCGTCCGACAAACATCTGAAAATAAAAAAAAATATATTATTTTGCTTATAGCAACCAGATGTATACTAAGGGCTGGCAAAGGTTAGTCTTGCGTCGAGATTTCCGTATGTAAGAAGAGTACAATGCGTCTATAATGTACTGAGCAAAGAGAGAACAGTAAATACGTTGCCAAATGCATGAAACAAATCGAGAAACTGCGCAAATTGCTAAGAGACGTGGAAGGGGATATAGCAGATTTGTCGCAGTCCACCGGTCGACCCATTCAGTAATCAGTACCTAAAGTTCTAGGGAAAGGTGAACATCATGCGTTCAGCTGCAGCTTCACGATTTAATTACGTCTCGCGATACTTTATTTGTTTATTTAATAACGAGTCGTTCTAATTTTCCCCAGAGCTTGAAAATTTTTAATTACAAGTTAGAAACACTTGCATTTTTGGTAAAAAATAAGTGGAATTGAGTTGGTATTCGACAGTGGTCGCGCTATTAGAACTCAAATGAATTCAAAATAAATCGATATCTCAAAATCTATTAAAAATAACTGATTACCTTACCAATATCCTTGTAATTCTATTTCAGATGCTCAGAAACATATCTAATGATTTTATCTAGTTATATTTTCGAAAAAAAAGTCGTTTAAAAATAAGCGGTTTGCGATCGTGATTTTACTTTACCTGATAGGGAAAGGCGTATCGGCAACGCCGCAACAGCATACCGTCGTATTTCTCTCACTCCGACTTAATAAGATCCTTATGCGATTTACCTCCACACGTGTAAGTTCCGACCCAAAAGTAACAGTTGCCAGCACTGTAGTAATGGTTAATATTAAATACCGTATGATCGAAAAAAACGGGATTGAGTTGGCTTGGAAATGAACATCGATGACATTCACCATATAATTTTACATATAAAATTACTAACAAATGAATTTTAGCAAAAATTAAAGTAATGTACAACGAACTAGTGACAAAAAATATTCTAATAAATAACAAAACACTGAAAATAGTGGAAGAATATATATATTTTGGGACAACTAATATACAGCTCTGGATCTCTACTACCAGAAATCAACAGAAGAATTAAGCATCGTTAAGCATGGAGTAAATATGGAAGAAACTCAAGCATAGTAAAATCTAGAATGCCACTTTATCTAAAGAATAAAACATTTGACAAATGTGTACTACCAGTCATGACCTATGTATGCGAAACCTGACCAGTTTAAAACGGACATTATAAGGAAACTGCAGGTCGCACAACGCTTATTGGAACGAAATATACTGGGAATAACCAAGAAAGACCGTAAAAGAATAGAGTGGATGCGACAAAAGACCCAGGTAATAGATATCATCAACAGAATCAAATCCCTCAGGACAAAAAAAAACTACCAATTCATGCGAAATATGACACCATCTAATTCCAACACATAAAACGGACTTTGTAAGTAAACTGTAGATCGCATAACGCTCAATGGAATGAAATATGCTGGCAATTTGAATGACCGTAAAAGATTAGAGTTGATACTACAAAAGATCCAGGTAATAGATGTCATCAACACAATCAAATCCCTCAAGTGACATCTGGCAAGAAAGACAAACAAGAAATGTACCACAAAAATTACAACATGGTACCCAGGAAGAATTAAGAGACCAAACCTGAGAGGGATAATAATTAGCAGGATAATATTAGAAAATAAGCAGAGATAACTTGAACCCGCATAGCTAACTATAGACAACAATGGGCCCAATTACAAAGAGAGTATCTAAATATGCGAGGGAGGCTATACCATAATTGGAAATGATGATCATGATGAATACAATCTAAACTAAAAATGTTAATTACTATACTAGTAGAATACTATTACAATAAATTGATGTATTAAATGGTAAAAAAATAACGAAAAACGGATAAAAAATAATAAAGTTATAAACCATAAGATTTTACAAAGTCTTTAGGGTGGCCGAAATTTTTGTCGGGGAGTGTAGGTATATCAAACGTAGAAAAATCTCTAAACAAGCTAAAAATGGACGTTTTTAATTCATCGGAAATACGTTTATTTCATTTTCTTCGAACAGTTTATAGAGGCAGTACCAATAAAAATCGTACGGGTACGAGTGACAGCTAGGAGGGTATCATTGTTAGTCGTCTGTGAATTGCGCTGCCACAATAAGCGTATGTATAAAGTCGAAGTCCATTATCCACTTAAAATAATTGTACGTAATGAGCATTTCCCAACTGATCTTAACAAAGTAAACGGATTGGTGCGAATACTCCTAAAAGGTATATTGGACGTGATTGTCAACAGTCTTACACATACATTTTTGTTATGATTATCAAATACCTATATATCTGTACGCTCACCTGCTTGTTTTTAATTAACTAATTATTTTTCCCCATATAGAGTATGCCCCCGGATTGTCTTTAAAAGAGGAAAAACTTTCTTATTATTGAGATTTTAAGAAAAATGCATTTTTTCATAGAAATTTTTCCTTGTTCTAAAATAGTTAATTCCGTTTATACTTTTCCAAATTTCCATACCGTTATACCATGCGTTTCTATGGTAATATAATTTGGTTTTAATTCTTTGATAGATTCTTATTGATAGGATTTTAATTAATGTCATATTTATTGCTGTTTTAAAATGTTAAAGAAGCATAAAATTTATTTCGTTCAATGTTACGGAAAGGGTGATGATAATTACCGGAAAATGTGATACTTTGACCAGAAAAATATGACGTTAATCAAAATTAATAATAACCATCTATCAAAGAATGAAATCGAAATTATATTACGATAGAAACGCCTTGTGATTTTTAGGACTTTTTTTAATTTTCTCTAAAAAGGTATTGAAATTTGGCAAAGTATAACGGGATTAACTATTTTAGAACAAGCAAAAGCTTCTATAAATAATGCATTTTTTCTGAAAATGTTAAATACGGCGTTTATTCCTCAAAAACTCATGTTTTGTCGTCCTGAAAAACATACGTATATGTATACATCATAAAGTTAGCTTTAGATATAGTCTTTCATATCAAAATTTATGAAGTGTTACAGAGGTTCTTTCGGAAGTGCCGCCATACTGAAACTATTTTTACTAAAAAATCTCAATGTGAAGCAATAATATATCAAAAAATTGTGATGTAGAGATTTTACTTCTCTAGAAACTTTTAATACAAGCACAGCTTGGTACAACCTGTATACTGAAGCAAGAGAAATAATTTATTATTGACATACATACATCAATCAGTTATTGTTGTTTTTACTTTGTTTTTAACTGATGTAAAATTATTATTTATTGGTTATTTTATCGTGTTTGTATTAAAAGTAATTATTATAGCAAAAGCAGATTTTTATACATATAGTTTCAAATCAAACGTGTCTATGTGTCTAATAACATTTAACCTCTCCAAGTTTTATCCACTCTAATTATCAATAAATTGTGTTGTTTATCTAACAATTTTTCAGAATTTTGAACTATTGCAATAAATATATTTGCCGCGGTTCGAGTACGTGCGACTAAAATAACACTACTGGCCAATCCTTATCAGTGACCTTTCTCATGATACAAAATAAGAAGAAAAATTGACGAGGACTGATTGTGTCCATGACAAGAATGTGAAGGAGGATTGTATTAAATAGAGCCTCCTTTATTGTCGCGAGCAGTTTTTTGACCCCCTGATTAGAGGACAAGTTCAAGACTAGGAATATTTTGATGACACAGGATATTAATATACTCGTGTTATCAGCTTGTGAAACGTTTAGAGTGATTTGATTTAATAAGGAAAATAAAAATGTAGACTTTGCCTAGTTTGTTTAGTGCTGTAATTCCTTCTTTTAATTCAATGATATTGAAATTTATACTCACTTCCATCTCTTTTGACTTTAAATCCAATTACTAAATCCAATGCATGCTTAATAATATTGAATAATTTATTATTGACCTGTACTATGTTTATCGAAGAATGCACTACAGCTCGAAAATGGTAGATAGCAAAAAGACAAAGCAACTACTAGAGCACAAAAAGAATCTAGTACGCATATTGGTGTGTGTCATCACTGGAAACTGCTCCACGGGGGTAAACCTCGTTGAATGGAAGATTTCGAACAACGACTATTGCAGAGAATGCGGAGAGGAAGAAGAAACCATAGAGCGTCTGATGTGCCACTGTCCGGCACTGGAAAAACGATGCTTTAAGACTTTAGAGCAAGGTTTTTTGGAGGGACTAGAGGAAGCAGCAGAAGCCAACATCAGCGTCATCGGGAACTTTGCAAAGAGCTGGTAGAGCTTTAACGCAAAGAAAGAATGAGAGGAAGGTTTAGTATAATAATACAGAGGCATCGCAATGGGCCCAAGACCTCCGAATGAGGGATCAAACAGGATCCCAAATCCCTAACCCCAACCTAACCAAACCTCCTATGTAAAACCAAGTCAGTTGACGAGATTAGTTGGTGTCTAAGGAAGTACATAATATTTAACAACTTGAATTATTAACATTTATATCTAGTGATCGTATCAATATTGGCAAACGCACTGTACCATAATTAGAGAAGAATAATCTACTATTTTGATTGCTAAATAAGTTTAAACAGTGCACTTAGGAATAAAGTAAAAATATCCTATTTGGGTATTTCGCCACTACAAGAAAATCTACAAAATAAAATAGTTATTTTTTGTAAACACTTCTGGGCGTTAATCTAAACGGAAACTACTTGTCAGAGTTAGGTTTACAGATATAAAAATTTGCCTAACGAACAAAAAATGCTTAACGTTTCGGAAAGTTTATATCTTTACGGCGTCGGAAGCAAAAAAATACAAAGAATAAAGAAAAAAAACTATTTAAAATATTTAAATTCAACTATTCGAGAACACTTTAGTTTTTTAAAACATATATGTCTACAAAAACCGTTGACGTTCTGTTAAAATGACATTATATCAAGTTAAACTTCAAAATTGACAATTACTACCTTACAGCAATTACTTAATATGGTAAAACCAAAAAACCCCAAACTTTCTGTATGATTATTTTTAATTTTTACGTATGTTATGTTTATTTATGTTATGTTCTTTAAAATCAAAGAAGCGATTGCCATACAGTACTAACATCTACAGATGCATGAGCAATACATTTTATTCTTATTAGATTGTATTAAAAAAGCCTCTTTTATATTTCTTTTAAAGGCTATCGCTTCTTTCATTATAATTTTGGCGTTATTAAAATTTATTCTGTGCCCTGTGTCCCATGAAGGCTGACAAATCTAAGATTTGTAAAAATCTCAAAAAAAAATTAAACGTTAACCTTTTTTTGTTCGTTAGGCAAATTTTTATATCTGTAAACCTAACTTCTGACAAGTAGTTTCCGTTTGGATTAACGCCCAGAAGTGTTTACAAAAAATAACTATTTTATTTTGTAGACTTTCTTGCAGTGGTGAAATATCCATATAGGATTTTTTTGGAGAGATGAATCCGCCACATAGGTATAGACATTTTTTAGGAATAAACTAGTGTATGTTGCCGTGTAATTACCAAGTCATTATAATTATTATAGAAATAAAGGTCCTTAATATAGATACGGCCACTATAAATGTTAATACGTAATTGATTAGATTAAAAAATTTAGAGACCATAAATTATTATTAAATAATTACTCCTTAAAGAATTGTCAAAATAAAAGAGTATTATTTGTTGCAATCAAAAAATATATAAAAAAAATATTATAAAATCCTGAACCATTATCTAGTTTACTCCTCGACGGTTCAATAAGTTCACCAAATCAAGTTATAAATATACAATAATGTAATTCTTCTTAATTATTATTTATTGCGAATATGTTATCTTTGTGGTCATTATCCAATGAATAATATAAACTACTACTTGCATTCTGCTTTTATGATTTTTCTTTACTTTGTGAGAAAAAAGGTTAAGACCCCATGTTTGTCTGTGTTAATGAAAAAAAAACATATCCTTGAAGGTTTATCATCGAGTGGATGATTAAAATATATCCATATATAAATATAGTTATTTATTAAGTTTAAATCCTATTCAAGTTTATTTCATTTAATTAATGTATCATTAAAATATTTTTCCATATTTTTCACATAACAAAAAACTCGCAAGCGATACTTTCTATTTGGGAAAGCAGGTCTAGAAGGAACTATGCTTCCATCTTATCAAGGACCTGAAGAAGCTATTGCAGGTCACAGGAATAGAAGACTGGGTGCAGATATAGAAACAGGACAAACACAATAGGCCTTACAGGGCGCAGTTTTGGTTTGGCAGGTTGGCGGTATAGGGCCACATTATATTAAGAAATGAGAAATAGATCTAACTTAGAAGACCATTAGAAATATGTACCACCCACAATTATTATATAGTACACTTTTTTTTCATCAGTTTTTAAATTAAAAAATACTTTTTGATACTCTAAAAAATCAAGTTATTCATAGTGTGTTTTACATTATTTTTATTTTACTTAGCTTTATATATAATTTTTATTCTACGCTCTGTTAGAGAGCTTAGAAAGATTAAAATTTCAATACCTACTGGTGGATAAACATTTATATTTTTATTTTTGTTTAATTATTTGTTAATTATTATACCAAGGAAAATTAATTATTTAGTAAATATTTGAATACAACATTAGGTATTACGCATACAAATTCAAACAACAAGAGTCCAAATTGTAATATCCTAAATATACACTATGTTCCTGAATATTCTTTACAAAAAGGAAACACTTTTTTCATCATAATATTTTGAGAAAAGTGCATTTGTAATAAAAAACCCATTGCTTGTTTTAAAATGGTTAATCTCCTTTATACCTTTCCAAATCTGCATACCGCTTAGGAGAAATCTTAAAAAACAAAGAAAATATTGTCCTAAAATTCAAATCGCGTTTCTATGGTAATCTCACTTTATTTTCATTCTTGGATAGATGGTTATTATTAATTTTGAGTAACATCAAATTTTTGATGTTATGTTAACAGCAAAAAATATGACGTTAATTAAAATTAATAATACTAAAGCATCTATCAAACAATGAAAATGAAATGTTACCACAGAAATGTTATATTTTCATATTAATTTTTAATTATTCTTGAAAACAATATGGACATTTAGAAAAGTATAAAGGGTATTAATCATTTTGGAACAAGCAAATACTTTTATGAAAGATGCATTATCCTCAAAAAGTTAATAAATAAAAAAGTTGTCTCCTTGTAAGGATGATTCTGAGTCATGTAGAATGTAGATTGTTTAGGAGGAGGATTAATCACCGCGACCTTTACAGATCTATTGTGTGTTCCTCTTTCTTGAGTTATAAGGAGTTATAACTAATCATAGAGCCTCAAGGCTTTGATAAAAGCCAGTATCTGAAACTGGTCCATAGAGGCCAGGTCTCCATCTGCGAAATTCTGGGACATACTGTATAACGTATTCTAGAGAAAAATAAATGTTTAAAAGGCCGTATACATATTATAATAGTCTGGCACTTTATTTTAATGATGTAACAACATACCTATATTATTCAGTAAATATTATAGAAACGTATAAACGGGATTAACTATTTTAGAACAAGTATTTTTTTATAAAGAATACCCCCCCCCCCCTCTAGCTTTTATTATTAATATTTTTTCTCAAAATATTAATAATAAAATAGTCTTTCTTCTTATAAAGATGATCCGTGGACATACAGTATAACGTAATACAGGAAAATATGTTTAGAAAGACCGTATACTTATACAGGGCGAGTTTTAAATAAATTCAAATATTTTTAGCGGTGGTATACAGGATGCGTCTCAAAAGTGGCTCACCCCTATAACTTTTTAATTTTTTACAGATAAAAATCGATATTTAGTATGTTAGTATATGACATAAATTAGGATTGATGGTCGTATTCAGTTGTTTTCGGTCACTTCCTGTTTCACCGGAAATGACTACAACTTTTGATTTTCAAATGGCATCCTCGGTATTTTGTTACTTTATTAGATAGAAATGAGACTCTGGATAGAATGACATATCATATGTTTTTGACATTTTCGAATATGGTTTATTTGAAATTGCAAAATGGGATTCATAACGACAATTTGACTCGAAATACCAAATTATTCGTAAAAGAATGCATTTTCCAAATATGCTAATAAGCCACCCTCGTTTCATTTGAAAAAAAATGTAGATATGATTAAAAATACGATTTGGGCATCTTTTAACCGGCCAAGACACTAAAAACATTAAACGATCAAATCTATTTTTCCAAGGCTCCTTGATTAAAAATTAGTGTTTTTAATACAGCCATGACAGTCTAGATTGAAATTTAAAATACAATTTTGTTTTAAGCGAAAATGTCAAAAGTTGACATATGATATGTCAATCTATACTATTACTATTTTTTCTATCGAATAAGCTAAAAAAATATCGAGGGTGCCATTTAAAAATCAAAAGTTATAGTCATTTCCGGTGAAACAGGAAGTGGCCGAAAAGAATTGAATACGTCAATCTATCCTAATTTATGTCATATTCTGACATACCAAGTTTAATTTTTTTTATCTGAAAAAAATATAAAAGTTATAGGGGTGAGCTACTTCTGACACGCACCCGGTATATAGACCACAGAAACACGTCTATAATTTCTTTTTCGCGATTTAATTTTAGTTTGGTATTTTTCGAAAAACAAATTGGAGTTTTTTAAATTTTGTTAGTTAAAAAAATATTTTGATATTATGGGAACATAGATTAAATTTACAAGAAAGAAACACTCAGAAAAAATCCAGTGGTTCTCAAAATTTAAGCAAAAAATCGCAGAATCTTCAAAGAATTTAATAAAATCAGAATTAAGAAATAACTCGGTTATTTTGAACTCATTTGAAAAACGGTAAAGAGCGAATATATTTTTTTATTAAGATCTACCTCCACTGACAATATTTGCACTTATTTAAGACTCACCCTGTATAACATATTCCAGAAAAAAATTGAAGAAATACCGTATACATTATAACAACCGAGCACTTGATCCTAATGTAACGTCCATACAACGACCTATACTAATCAGTACCTACCTTCGCTGGCTGTAACATGTCCGAACACTAAAACCACAAGGAACACTAGACCCAAAGGGTGTCTCCGCTGGCCACTGTCCTCCATACTGGTCAGAGGTCTGTTCCGCAACAACTAGTGATAATTGGTGAGACGCTTGTTTATATAGTCCCCCTTAAAGTTTAAATTGAGCCATTGAGATAGAGATAAGAGCAGCCGGACTAATCAAAAAGTAAAGCGTTTTGGTCTTTGTCCAGCGCTTTTGTTGATTTTGGACGAAATCGCCCGTCAAATATTTGCAGACGGTTTTAAGAGTTACATTTTTGAGTATTTTGTAATTATCGGTATCAGCTTTATTGATCTGCGAAAGAATATCTTTTGGATACGTGCAGCAATTGGTATACAGGGTGTTTCAAAAAGAATGTGCCATCTTTCTTTGGGAGATTCCTGTCGGAAAAATAAGATTTTTAAATATAGGTCCGATTTTGCTTTGTTTGGAGTCTACAGGGGGTTAAAGTCTTTTTTTTTTTCGATTTACTTATTATAATTCTCTTCAAAGGGTTTTTAGCGACTCGAATGTAATTCTGAAGGTAAAAGTTATTATAAGTGCTGCATATGGGTTTTCACGGGAATATTTTTCTTAAAAAAACATGTGCGCCACTGACTTCTTTCTCTTGTTAAGCCAGTTCTACACGATGCGTTCAACGTTGGTTCCAACTAGGGTTCAGAATCGGGAATTGGTTGGTTGATATGTTTGCTGTAATTTTTAAGCTACCTATGTGTTTTCTTTTTCTTTTCGTTTGTGTTCTTGTGTTCATTATTTGTGTTCATGTTTACTTTCTTATGACTTAATAATTTGATATTATTTTCACTTGAAACTCAATTTTTTATCGGTTTTACTTTTGAGAACCATCCCTTGCTTGCTAATTGACAAACAACACAATCATTGAACAAAATATTTTAGTACGGTTCCGGAAACTCTAACTAATACTATCAAATATTAGGATCCAGATCTTTTTGGCCATCATAAAACCGCGCCTCGGTTTCAATAATTAAAAATTATATTTTTGTTACGTGAGAAAGTTCTTTGATACTTTCTAGCAGTCGAAATCAAACTCTTCTAAATAAGTAATGCTATTTCTTATTATTCTTGCTTCTTTTCTCTTCTGAAGTTCCTATAATATTTATTATGTTATTTTTTAATACATATTTGCATTTTTAATTCAATTTTTTAGGTCTTTTGTCTCAAATTCAGTTAAGTTGGTTTATGCTGTTTGATGTAAAATTTAAGTTACCTATACTTTTTGCTTTACTTGTGCTTGCTATACTTTTTGTGCTTTACATGTTACTTAATAATTTTTTAATAATTTCATTAATTTTAATTTTTATTTAATAATTTGATGTTATTTTCATTAAATCTCTCAATTTTGAGCCGAAGGCTCCAACCCTGAACTGTAATCTTTGTTGGTTCCAACGTTGTAACCAATTTTTTTTACAATTCGCACAGGTTTCGACAATATTTCAATTGAAAAGTGTGTCTCCTACACGATGTGGCAAATATTCATGTGTCCAACGTTGGAATGTGTTTGCCTCATCGTTTGGGACCGGATTTAGCAAAATTGTGTAGACAGTTTAATGCAGTTAAATAACATTTTCGTACTTTTATGCTTAGGCGTAAAAGTGTTTTATTCATATGCCTAAGCGTTAAAATGACTTTTGTATATTGCCAATCAATGTTGTCAAATTTATCATTTCAGTCAAATAACTATCTACTCAATATATTTATTTTTTGTCAATACATAGTGATACATGTATTGACTAATTCCATTCTAAATATCTTGACAACGGTTGCTCGAAATTATTTTTACCAAGAGAGATTTTTTACGTAAAAAATACGAAAATGTATATTTTTTCACTCAGTAGTTCTATACAGGTACGGACAAAAAGTTATTACTCTTCAAAACAATTCAAACATATAGTAGGCGGCTCCCCCTATAAATAATAATCATGACATCAATTTTCATCCAAATATTGACGTTACTTCGCAAATTAATAGGAAGATATATCTCTAAATAAAAATGAAACTTCTACACCCTGTGTCTCGAAATCTAAGTATTTTAGGACACATTTAAAACATACATAAGAACTTTTTTACGTATTTTTATCTGCAGAATGTGATGTCGAAGTTTCCGAAATACAGTTCGGACCACCCTTTATATTTAAATGTAGATTTTATTGCCTTAAATAAAGATCTTTAATTTAAAAAAATTAAAGTCCTATTTTTTTAACATTTATCACAATAATTATACATTTATACTTTAAATTAGAATCACCCTGTAGTATAAATTATAATTTTAATTTTTATTTCTATTTTTTGTTCATTTGCGCTCTAAACATTAATAATTTAAATACAGTGGTAGATGTTTTGCTAGCATCTTCTCATATGTCGTCAATAAATTATAAAATGGCGACCAACCCCTCCTCCACCTCCATCACCTCCACCCTCCACTGATGCAGAATCGGCCATCTACCTCTACTATGCTAAAATTTAAAAAGTGGCTTCTATGCTTAATTTAATCACTAGATACCATGCCAGAAGTAAATATCAGTCATAAAAAAGGGTCCTCCTAAAAAAACTTGCGGGATTTCATATCTCGACCAGACTAATAATATACAAACCTAATTAGTATCTCTGTTTGTATGTTTTTCCATTTCTATATTATTGTTTTTCCATTTCTATGTGATTTCATGTTTTTCCATTTCTATGTGATTGTGCAGTTTTAAATCTAATTATTACTTGCCCCCCCCCCTCTCTAAATGGTCTTTTTAAACAAAATGTTGGCAGCCAGGGGCGCAGCTAGACATTTTTTTTTGAGGTTCAAGTTAACGTCTCCTTTCTGCTGCGGTGTCCCAATATTCCGTGGACATAGAACTACACGTATTTTTGGAATCAAAATAAGTTAATTGGACACAATATACCTCTATACAAAGTGCTTCGCTTGTCCGCTAGAAAGCATCAAACTTTAAAAAATAAACTCATTTTTTCAGATATTTTAAGAGCCGTTATTCCGACTCGAATGAGATTTTAGGTGTCTATGTTTTGCTAAGTGCTTTAACATTTTACTTTCACTAAAATCAAGAAAAAGTACGGGAAGAGTGAAAACTACCCCATCCCTACATAAATTTTAGTATAAATATTTTCAACTTCACCGACGGCAGATTTTCTTTTCCTAAAATGCTCCCTCTACTATTTACAACATTTTTGTCTGTTGTTGAAAAACGCTACATCGCATAGTTTTGTGTATGTAAAAATTTTTTGGAGATATCCGATCTCATCCGGCCTTGAACCGGCGTGAATGAGCAGTGTGTATCAATAGATTTTACACTTTTCCCTTTTGGACAACAGCACGATGCAAAGTTTCGAACCGGTCACCCGTCCATCCACTAGCATCGCCTTACGTCGCTTAACTTCGGTGTTCTAATGGGAACCGGTGTTTCGTCGTAGCTGGGCCGTTGCCAGTAGCTAGACATATACTTTTAAGGGGGCTGAAGTCTTTTGGGGGGGCTTAAGTCACTATAAGATAAGATTCATGTGAGGTTAAAACCAATTTTATACGACACGCACTGGTCATCTGGGGGGGCTAAGCCCCCCCTGACCACCCCATAGTTGCGCCTCTGTTGGCAGCCTTGTGGTTTATTCAATATCAAAATGACATTATACAGGTTTCAAGCCTTGAAAAAATATTTTTTTTCCTCAAAAAGTATGCACGGTAGCGTTTTTTACAATAGGCAAAAAATGTATATACTAGAGGAACCATTTTAAGAAAACAAAATCGGCCGTCGGTAGAGTTGGAAAATATTTATACTAAAATTTATGTAGGGGTGGGGGTAGTTTTCTCGTACTTTTTCTTTATTTCTCTGAAAGTTAATTGTTAGAGCACTTAGCAAAACATAGATACCCAAAATATTATTTAAATCGGAATAGCGGTTCTTAAAATATCTGAAAAATTGTGTTTATTTTTTTAAAGTTTGATGCCTTCTAGCGGATAAACGAAGCACTTTTGTATAGAGGTATATTGTGTCCAATGAACTTGTTTTGATTCCAAAAATACGTAGCAGTTCTATGTCCACAGAATATTGGGACACCCTGAATATTTCATATTTTAAATTAAATTGGCATTTAAATTATTTTCAATCATGTATGATTGACAATATATGCATGCATAAAAATTAATTGTTTCATTGTGTGATAATATTTCCAGTAATTTATAATATATTTATAATAAAATGCTTCTGTGTGCGGCGAAAACTATGGAAAATCATAGTTTTACTGTTAAACGCTGGTTTTACAGTATAAATTATGATAACTAGTCGCGAAGATCACGTCTTATTATCTTTATGTTTGTGAGAATAGACTTCAAAGTAATTTATATTAGGTTTGTTCCAACATAGCAGAGTTAGTTTTTGGTACGGTTAAGCTTATGCGCAGTAGAGAAAATGCGTTTCATCAACGAGAGACTCGTTTATAGTCTATTTCATAAAGCTTGATAGCATAGCGAGAAGAGCTGATGGGGTTCAAATCAAAGGATTTGTAGCTTGAAATAACACAACGTTTAAGATAAAAGATGTGCGAGAACTTATGAATATGTCGATAACACAAATCTCTGCCGGAAATTGGACAAATGCCATAAACCACGTCATAAAAGAGGAGCAAGAAATGTGGGATCTTGACAATCTCTTGGGGGAGATATTAGAATATCTGCTTATTTCACTTGGAAGTTTTGACGACTCTGACTTCACTGAGGATGATTTATAATTACATATTTTGTATTTTAATTATTGTAAATACTTAACATTGTTAACAATGTTGTAACCTATTACATACATTTAACAATAAAAACTTTAGATTTCTTCACTAATATGTACGATAATTGAGTGTACTCGTATAATCTATAATGATACTGAAAATTCCAGTAACATGTAAATAGATATTTGTATTGCCATTATCATATTATTTTACGTTGTGTAACAAAATATTATATACTTTTAACAAGCTCCTGTATTAAATTTTAAAACCCTAACGCCCCACACTGGTGCTGTCAGGACCTTCTCAGATAGCTCTTTTAATAATCGATATCTTTATGTCCAAGCCAATGTTCTAATAGATGATATATAC